CCATATTTAGTCTACTGTTTGGAGTCATGGTCATGCTCACATGGTGGCCAATCAATTGGGCATGGGCACCTCTTTGTAAACTGGCTCTGACGGACAGAAATAGGAATGTTTGCCCCAACGGGCGTGGGGAAATGCGGCCCTTGTCTCCTTGACTTTCTTTGCGTACTTTTGCCTCCCCCCCCCTCCTCCCCAACCAACAGACTACCGGCAAAATTGCCGGTGACTCATGCCTTGGAGTCGCGCTCCCGGAGAAGTTGCTTTAGGATTTGGGAAATCTTTCAGCGAGCCCGGCTTTTCCCTGGTCATGGAACGCCCCCCCGTTAATAAAGCCAAGGCGTTGTTCCTGGGCCCACGCAACTCTAATAGGTACCGCCATTGATGGTGTTTCAAGTTCGGATCCCTTGGTTCAAAGGCTAAGATCTGCAGGCAATGGCCCCCGTAACCCAACCCTTTGATCGGTTCCCCGCCCAAACTGCGTTGGAGTCACCTTCACGTTGGTTGTGGCTCGGTTGCGACCGAGCGGCGTCCAAAGAGCGCCTCTGAGATCCGCGGGATCAATCCACGGTGCTCCCCACTGTCATGATTGTTCCTGCGTCATGTGGACGTGTCATTTTTGAGGATACCCCCTTTTGTGTGGTGTTAAAGGGAAAGCAAAGTAATAACCACAACTGTGGGAACAGTATTCATACGTATTCATTATGTCCCCTAAACTGGCATGATGATTTGTTGAGTAGCCCCTGTGTATGGTATTTGGGTGAGCGTACCCAATGTCATTTGACGAACACAGACTGCAAATGCTGCCCGTTGCTCTACGGCAACGCGCGGCGAAGAGATGGGGCCCTTCGAAATTGAAGTGCGTCCGTGCGTCCGACAAACACATCTGATAGATGGCGTTCGGAGGAAACCGAGAAAGGCGCCAAAGAGAAATAAACCAGTTTTGGTGATTGCCCTGTGTTTGGGTCGTTGTTGGAATGGTATCTGTTTTGAGATTGTCTTCCGCACAGTCTCAGTTCCGCCCGATTGAGGCAGGCGGCATCATGGTGTGCGTCTTCCCGGAGCCCGTCTGGCCGTACGCGAAGATGGTCGCGTTGTATCCTGCAAGGCGTGAAACTGAAACCAAAAGGAGAGGCGGGTTAAACAATGTGGATGGACAACATGCTGGCTTCTCCTAGGGCGTCAGCCAAAATAACAAGCCGTTTTGGAAACCGCTCCTTGCCTCAACCAATCCTTGCCTAGTGCCCATGAAACAAAACAGCCTAGCCTTCCCTCAACAACAAGGGAACAAGTAAGGGGCACCACCGGTGTGGGAACTGCCGTAGAGAGAACGCCGAACCCACTCTCCCGACCCCTAGTCCTTCGAAGGCTCTGTCTAGCAAGGGGATGCCCAGCGCGTCGAAGACTTCGACTTGGGTGGATTCTGAACCTGGGACGAGGTCCTGTCTAATTTTGTTTTGCCCGTGGGATGCAGTGGGTTGGTGTACACCCCAGTAGCAAGAAATGAAGTGTCGCCCAAAAAACCTGCAAAAAAAACAGGAACCTGCCAGAAAGACAGCCATATCAAAACAGTTGCATACATCTCAACACGTAGCACCGGATTTGTTTTGCGCTTCCACTGATTCACAGAGTCACTTTGCTCTGGCATCATGGGACTGAATCAACTCCAAGTCCTTCCAAATTTCAAGACAAGCCTTTCTAAAACCTGCACGAAGCAGTCAAAGCGGTGATTCTTGAACCAATTGCCGCTGGCCGTCGTCTCTAACCCAATCCGAACCAATGCTGTGACTGCCTCTCTTCGAGGATTAATCTTAAATTGTGAGTCTGGCATAGTGTAGTGTATCAAAAATAGTTGCCCGTTAAAAGATGGTTGGTGTGATGTTGGCAAGCTTTGAAAACCGTCCGAGAATCTGGGTCCGAGCTGTTTCGACACACAGCCACTCGCGCTCAATCCAAGGTGCCAAAAGCAAAATCGAACTCGAAGGGCTTGCTTGGCGAGCCTTCGCGCTGTAATTCCACCTCCAGACACAGAGCTTCATTTCCACGTTGTCGAGGGATGATGCTTTGGTACTTGAGGAAAACAATTCAGCTACAAAACGATGAACCTGTGATGCACATGACCATCAATTGAATCAACAAACATGGACAACTTCGCTCTCATGCACAAAGCCAGCAAGAAGCCACCTACCCTTGCAGTTTCTGCACGACGAGTGACAGTACGGATAATATAATCAAGCCACACGTCAGCTTCCCGCCGGCTTCTTGTACAGTGGCTATCGCATATTCACCGCATACAAAACCTAAAGTAAGCCGCCTGCGCGCACCAATTGCTGACATGCGCCTTCAAGGGAAGTCCGGCGCCACCATGAGTCACAGTCAATTTCCGAGTCTGGAAGGACGATAATCAAAATTGGGTCGATATCTGCGCCTTTCGCGACTGTCCCTCACTATCCTTTAAGTTCCCGCAACTAGTTTTTTGATGGCTAGCCATCCAAGCCACCTAGAAAAGAGATCATGGTGTGACTCTTTCCTGTCACCCATGCGAGCCCCTCATATCGTGTGTCAGGATGGCCTTGCAAGATTCCGGCACATGTTACTAAGATCACTGGCATTAAATCCACACGAAGAAAGCTTCCTTGTCATTCCACGGCGTTTCCTTTTGTTTAAGGTTTTTCTTCAACCCAACCCTTGTGGTAGCCTCAAAACCACGAGCATCACGGCACACATCCAAACGGACTAAAAACTAAATAAAGAATCGCCAAGCGGGGCCTGCGGCCCCACGGCCCGCCTGGCCCAGCTTCTGATTCACCTCCACACAAATCTCCCCGCCCTCACGCAGCTCTTTCTGGGACATGGGCCGCATCCGCACCGCCACGCTGACCTATCGCGTCCATGAAGCGGGAAGCGGGGGGGGAGGGGCACCATCCCAGCAGCATGCTTTGGATGGAGAGCCAAAGCGCAATCGTTTCTCTTTTGGGGGATCCAGATGCCTCTTCTGACGCGGCAGCCTGTGGTTGACTTCAAAGGAAGCCCTCGGCAACTGGGGCTAGACGCAGAGGGGACAGGGACGGGACCTATGTGGTTTCAGAAATGGACAAGCCGGACAAGTCAGTGGGAACTGATGTAAATCTTGACAGTGACTTTAGTGCCACGTTACACAGTCCCAGCTCATCCCATCTCCCCCCCAAAAAATAGATTGGCTGTTTCAAGGTGGCTTCCTTTTCTTGGCGGGTGGAAACACACATCAAAGCAAGCCGGCCTTCGGTTTCCGGAGTCGGAACAAGCGGATGCGCTTAGTTCCGAATATACAATTCTTACCCTTCAGCCCTGTGGTATAGTGCCGGGTGAAACCTTTAAGTTCTGCGTGAACCATGTGCTCGAAACGAAGTTCTGGGAACTGTCCAATGAATGGGCATCGGCATCAGCCTGAAATTAGATACCTGATCAAGGGTAACCCTGATAGCCTCAGGTAACGTTGCTAACGCGACGTAAGTATTCCTGTACATAGGGTGCTGAACATGCCTTTTAGGTTCCTTCAGAACCATCAAACTAACTTTGTTTTGGTGTCGCTATGTTGGACCCTCCCCTCTCCCGTACTCAGCATGTGTTGCAAATTCTGCAAAAAGGAATTCCCAAGAAACAAAATGATGCTTTCACTGGAAAGCACCCCCCAAAAAGTGTGAGCTCGAAGCCCATCACCGGATGTTTCTGCGCCAAAATGATAGGCTATGGCAAAAGGTCGCATGGCTCTGCATCAGCTTACCAACATGCCTAAGCACCAGTTGCGTAACCAGCCTCTTAGCTCCTCTTTATGGATGGCCAGCCTAAGAGTGTGGTGGCTTGGGTTTTGCCCATGGCACATTCACAGCTTTGAAAGTCCAGCACTGCGGAACTAGCATCGAACCCGGCTGTACTGGACTCAGCCAAGCTACAGTGATGACGTCAGCATCCCCCATAGCGCAACGGGCTAAAGGCAGGATAGAACGCAGGGCGACCTGCGAACTCTTCCCCCCTGCTTCGGCAGGTAAGCTGAATGCTGCAGACGGCGCGCCGTGATCAGGGTTTCGGATAGTTGATGTCAGGGAAACGGGAATACCTAAGTTTCAGTCTATGGGAGAGCTCACAAATGGAACCCTGGCAGTGCTTGACCCGACGCGGTCATGTGCTGTTTGCACTTATTGCCCGCATTTGTGTTGATACAATAGGATTATGAACCCAGCAACGCCCATGTAGAAGGTTTATGGGACGGCCGAGACGCAGCAAGGGGTTTGCTTGACCATATGCACCAAGTCTCCGGAATCAGAAGCCTGAATGGATAAGGATTGCCAAGTCGGAACGCATTTTGTCTACCAGCTGACAGCTCGGATGGACATGCACAAATCAAGGCCGTGCGCCAGTGGGGAGCACGTTTCTCAAGGCAACATGTGGAGGGTTTAGCATGCAGGACTAGCAAAGGTTGGGCGGGGAATGGTTCTCCAATGAAAGCAAGCAAACAAATCCTGATCACGGGAGAGGTCGCACATCCCTTTTGTGAGTTGGCTAAAAAACGGTCAGGCACATGAGGTTCGACAATCGCGTCTCATCAGACACGGCGACAAGAGCTGGGGGCCAACATTTGCGCCGCTACGCATGCAACACATCCATTTACCTTCATGGAACCTGACGGAGGCCCGAGGGCCAATTCCACCAACGCGCTTTAGGAATCCTCGGGAGAGAAGCCATGGATTCCAAGACGGTTAACTGGTACGCACAAATGGGTGTCAGAATGCCTCGAGCTACGACAGATCTTTGGGCTTCATATAAATCTGCAGGGAACCTCCGTTGTGCATGAGCCAAGGTGAAAATTATGCTGTTCACATGTGAGTCCTCCTGGCTTTTGTGGGCTTAGAGCTCGTCCCCCCAAAGTTCCTCCCAAATTTGACTATAGAAATTCTAAACTGAGCCTCCCAATGCGACATCCTCGACCCCGCATTCCTCGAGCCGGCATGCCCTTGTGGGCCCCAGGCTGAGTAGCTGGAGATCTGCCAAACTGTGGGCGCATAGCCTCAGGCTTTCCGGACATTTTGTGCCCAAGGCGAGGGTATGTGTCAAGAGGGGAACTCCGAGACAGGGACCACAGTGTCCTCTCGGTTTCTCGTAGCATACCCCACAAAGGGAACCTTCATGAACATACACGTACAAAAGGTCATAGGTTCCAGAAAAGAGACAAAGGATGCAGATCAAACGGACACATCAATCTCCCACAAAACAACAGCAAAGCAACATTGGCAAGGTGATGTTTCCACCACCAGAGGTCGTGGTGTTCTCAATAGAAGGCTTGTCAGTTGACTAAACGCCCTGAAGGGTTCAGGCATGAGCCTGAGCGAAGGCTCCCTCGCTGAAATGGTCACATGGGTGTGTCTCTTAAAATAGACAACCCACAAAAAACGGCGGTTTTCCTTTTGGTTTGTCTTCAAAGACCACCGAAAAGGAGGTACAGAAAGGGGGTCCCCACCAAAACGACAGACTCGTAGACTCGTATATTGTTGTTGTCGTCGTTGCTGTTCTTGTGAGTCATGTTGATGACTGCCATATATCTTATGGGCTGATACCAGTGCTGATCTGGGTCCTTGCCATGGAATATCAACAGGTTTCCCTCGTCACCCTGCGATTTACGACCACTGGGAACTGCAATGACCATGGCACACTGCCTTGACGAAACAGCGGTCCGCAGCTTGACCGCAGGTTGATATATGTGGCATCCTATAGTTGCCAAGGGTCGTCCAAAGGAAAAGGGTCATCCAAAAAGCTGCCTCAATGCCAATGGGGACTACTGTTGGAGACCTTTGCTCCCAGCATCCTTGAGGGAGGCCTTGACAAATACTAACTGCGATTGACTGATATGACTATCGTGCTTGAGGAAAAGTCACCCTTGCTGTGATACCACAGTCGGCCCTCCCCACTATGTGTCACTTCAAAGGGGGTTTCTTTGTATCACAGAAATGGGGCCAAACAACACGTTATCCACAACTCGGTTGACTCTGGCTAAGCTCATGCAAAGAATATTTTACAATGAAAGGCCCTGCTGGCTGCCTCCAAAATCAACTGCCCACACTGCATCACACAGATCGATGATATCAGAAGCAGCTTACTTCGAGGCATGGCAAGTCAAGACATGACCTCGGAAATGACGTCTGCTGAAAATTAACTTCAGGTTGTCAGCATAGGCTGTTCGGGCATTTCAAGATTAGGAACCCCCTCCAAGTGGTTGGCTGTCTGTGGTTTTCCCACTTAAACAAGTCGCAAAAAGGGTCCAGAAAAGCCACACTCAAGCAAGAATGCCGTCAAGCGGTCGCGTCAAAAAGTCCGAAGGCAGGGCTGAGGATCTCCGAGGGGTTGTACACGCTCAGCACCACCAGGTAATCCAAGCCTGAGTTTGATTGGTACGGGTTCCAACGATCCATGGTCGAAATTGAAATCACTCGCAAGAGGGGTGCTCACAATACCAACACCCTAGGCTTCCAAAGGCCATTAAAAGAATGGTCGAGGTTGCTAGACTGTTTTTTGCCGAAAGACCGTTTTTTGCGCCTGGCCCTGAATATCCAAAAAAAAAATGTTTTTGTTGCCCAAGAATTGCTTAGGGTCAGGTCACTGAAAGTCACGCCGCCCTCATCCTCCCAGCTGCAAATGACTGCACCCAAGCCACTCATTCCCCGGCTTGCCAAATGTATGGTCGCATCACTTTTCAAAATCGCCAGGTGTCCCGCCTACTGTAGAGGCGTGCATAGATTTTTCGCATGTTGGTACTGAAGTCCGGCTTTTTTGAAAAATGCTGCAATCTTAGTGGCTTCGGGGCATCGCTGCCGATCAAACATGCGTTGTTGGCTCCTGGGGGTATGGTTGTCCACGCTTTTAAATGTACTTTCCACGCTAAAAAACGTACTTTCCACGCTAAAAAACGTACTTTCCACGGTTTGTCCATGGTTTGTCCACGCCTCATTTTTCGAAACCGATTAAACAATCAACAAACAACACGCGATCAGACTCTGTGGAGCTGTGGACAAGAAGTGGAAAAACACGCACGGGCATGTGAGGGACAAGCCATATTGACACAGCATGGTGACGGCGTGTGATTACAACGGGATGAAGCGACTGTAAAACATACTGAGCTAATTTCATAAAAGGCGGCAATAAAGTTCTTCAGCCTCTCACTGCACAGAAGCGCGAGGGGATGTCAGGAGCCAGCCGTCTCAAGTTGGACAAGTTTGTCTAGACCTACTTTTAATGGTCGAGGGACATTACTTTTATAGCCTTTCGTGTTTTAAATGGTCGAGGCTATTTAAAGAATAGTCGAGGAAGCACAGGGAACAGTGAGAGTGCCCTAATTTCTGGCTCCATTCGATGGTTTCTACTTGACCGCCTCTGATAGAATTCAATTGAAAGTCAGCCCCATTAAGGCGACAACACCCCATTTATATTCTATGAAAGGCGGCCAAACAACACATTGTGACGCAACTGAACGGAACCTGTTGATGAGAAACGCGTGTAGACGAGGCCCGGAAACTAGCCACATCTCAAGCAAAAAACCTGAAACGAAGCTCTCTGCCCATTGAGTGATGCCGGCTGAACAAACATTGTCTTGAGTGTCACTGTTGCTATCCTGATAGTACCCGGCCTTGCTCTGGTTTGCGTTTATGTCTGTTGCAGTTGTCGTTATCATCCTCATCCCTGTCGTCTTCGTTGCGTGTTTCTGTTGCTGGGCTTGCGAGTGTTGCTGTTGCTGGTGCTGCTGCTGCGTCAGAGGTCACAGCGCCAACTGAAAACGACCAAAGGGCTCATTTTTGACACACAAGGCATGGCATAGTTTCCTATACCCTCTTTGGCTTAACCTGAGGGCTCAAAAGGCAAGTAAAACGTCTGAGGACACCAAGAGGTCTCCCTGGGCTCCAGGCCAGCTGTGATCGGCCGCGCGTTCCGATAGAACACCGATACCTGGCCGAGTGCGGCAAAAAAAGTCCAAGCAAAAAACCTGCCGAGCGTGAACTTTGCCAATGGCAGGCACTACAATAGCCGTCATCATGGCCTATGTACGTTCCATTAAAGCTGCATGTTGGGGGTTGTTTTCCTTTTGCCTGCTGTGTGGCAGTCGCTCAGAGATCTGGCTGTTGGCCGAGGAAACTTCACCGTCAGTCTGGCAGAGTCATGCCCGAAAGGTTCGGAAGAAAATGCAGTTCTTGCAGGTTGAATGCACCAAAAAGGCCGCGCAGTCAACTGCTTTCTTGCTTTGTTGCTTCCCTTTCCTTTTTCCACTAGCATTGCTCACCCGGGTTTACAGATTACATGTTGCTCCGGATGTTTTTTTTTGTTTTTTCAATTGAAGGGAACACCAAAATTGCAAACCACCCACTTTGGGGGCTTTGGGACACATCCAAATGCGCAAAGGTAAACTTGCGAGGGCATCAGCCAACTTCAATCTCGGATTCCGGTCGTGGCGATGGCCCCGGCCTTTCTGGAATCCACGGCGTCCACCTAGTCGCTGGGGTGGATAGAATGAGATGGGGATGTAGATTTGTCTGAGGCAACACTTGCATACCCCAACAGAAATAGTTTTGCAGGTATGTACCCTGAATGGCCCCTGAACAGCCCATGCATAGCATCTGAATTTAGTGCATTCCGATTTGGGTATGTAAGTAGGACCTCAGGCCTAACCTTCCACACAAAATTGCACTGCTCTTACAGAAATATCCTTTTGGGGTACCTCCTTTGCAGCAGCAAAATCAATGCTGACCCTGGATCGAGCATTCAAACTATTGAACTACCCAGGAATTCCAACATAGAACGCAACAAAACTAAACACGCTACACTTCTGGCTTCCCCTGAAAAAAACATTCGCCGTTTGGGGAGCCCGCCTGTTTTTGGACACAGCCCAGATCTTTGACTGGCACAGAGCTTGCCACCCGGTGTAATATAGAGGGCTGAATAGTCAAACATCTTTTAGTCTTCCACATTCTCCCATGATCACAAGGTAGTTCAAGAGTTTACTTCAATAGTACCCCCACAACTGCCCCGCAACCTCATTCGAACTATTGGGGTTCGTCCTTTGGATCTGCTTGAAAAGGTAACGAAAGGGAAACCGACCAGTTCTTCAAAGCCTTAAAGCCCCTTCTGGAAACGCCCGCATGTTTTCCATCTTCCGACTCGTGACAGATTTGGGTATGATTCCTTCCCCCCGTTTGGAGATAAACTAAATGCAACCTCTCCCTCTCTCCATGATTGATTCCCTCCTTGCTTCCTTGTTGGTGCTCTACTGCACTTAATTCTTACACAGATCTGGGTGTTCATGTTGACCAGGAGAGAGCAGTCGAAGAGTACAAATGTGGCCCCGCTTCAGGAAAGCTTCACTTCACGGCGTGTTGCCGAAGTCTCAACGGGGCCGCCATCAACCCTGAGCAGCCGGCCAGGCAAACCAGATCATCTTGCGGCCAGACCTAAGCAACACCCATGGAGGTTTCAGCTGAACCCAGCTGAAACGCAAGCATGGCTTCACAAGCTGTAAGGCTTTAATTAAGAGTTCCTTCTGTGTCCTCTAAACACATCAAACCACCAAAACATGCTCGACTGATCTTAAACTGGCTAAATGCGCGGCAATCTGTTTTCTTGAGGACCAGGGACCTGTAATAACCCCTGTGCAAAGAACCCTGTTTCAGCTCACTCTCCGGGCAGACTGCATATCGTGCAGAAGGGATTCATGACCATGCAATCTGTGCACCAGCCAAAAACACTACGAGTACAGCGGAATGCCAGGTACATGCATGGGTCTGTCCTTGTTGAGGGCACCCTTTTTGGGGTCGGTTTAAAGGCAAACCAAAGGGACAACCACCATTTGTGGGGTCCTTCGATTTTGAGGCTCGTGCGAAGCCAGGATAGAAGACACCCAAGTAGGTGTACGGAAGCTCCTTGCCACGCAGTTCACATGGCACTGCGGCTCAGAAAACCTGGGGCTTGCAGACGGCTACTTTGTTTTCCTTGCATTTGCCTAAGTCCACTGTAAAATAACTATTTCCAGTAGTGACAGATTCCCTTTAAAACCAACAGGGGAAAATAACAACTGTTCTCAAGCAAATGGAAGCCTATGACCCCCTTTTCGGGTTTTGCCAGGGAAGCCAAACGGAAACACGCCATTTTGGGGCTCCCCTGTTCTGCTAAACACCTTCATGAAGCTGGTCAACACGATTGCAATGAGAAGTGCACCACTCGTCGCAGTCTTCATGACTCTAACATGATTCAACAGCACAGAAGCCTAGAAAAACAAGAGTGCCACTTGGCAGCTCGGGATATGACTCAACAGCAATTGCGAAGCAAAGCTTCACCTTCACAAATACTCCTTCCCAGTACGCCACGTAGCTGTGCCAAACGAGCCTGTTTTTGGAGGACGCTGATCTAGCTTGTGCAACATCTGCCGCCCGTTTGTGCCAAACAAAACTCGCCGAAGCCAGGTGCCGCAAATGAAACTAACCACAAACCAACACCTCCACATCTGCCAGAACAGTACCCTTCCTTAAAAAACCATCTGGGGTAAACCTGAGAAAGCTACGCCCAACGAGTCCAGAGGCACAAAACACCAGACGCGCCGCAAGAACTTCCCGTCCTCGATCTCGGTGGTGCAGGCCTTCGAGGGCTGGTGGACGAACTGGAAGCCCTCCGGCCTCGGGGGGCTAAGCCAAGACCCACAACCCCCGTGGGGTGGGCGGTTCAAAATGGGGGGAGGTGGAGAGCCCTAAGTCGAAATTTCTGGAACACAACCATGTGGCATAAGCATTGATCCCGCGAAAACGCCGCAGGAAATCAGAAAATCAAAATAGACCCTCGAACGAATGTAAGCACTGGCCACATGAATTCTGAACTGCAGTCGGTTTCCTTGTGTCCCTTCAATACAGCCCCACGAGAGGCAACCTCAAAACAGACATGCTCCACACGCAGGATTTGTTTTTGAGAAGGGTCGCCCTGGTTTTGGTTTGGCTGGTTGTTGGACATTACTAAGATCGCCGAACGATGCCATAGACTGGTAGATCACTAGTTATCCTAGCCAAAAAGTCCAAGATTCAGCCAGCTAGGAGGAGCGTAGCTGCTCTCTTTTGTTTGGGCGGACCCTTGCCAAGCAAACATGGGTGTCTTGTTTGTTGGAGTTAGCACCCTTGCAAGCAAGGGACACCGAGCGAAACCGAAGCTCAAGTTAAGGGCTCCAAAGCCAACTTGAGACGCGGCCCACTATCTAATTTTGCCTTCCGAAAATGAACGTGGAGGCAGAACCCGAAAGCACAGCTCAACAGGTTTTGCGGGGGGACGCAGTTCTCCTGCCTCTCAGTACTTTGCTCCCTGATCGCGCTCCTGCACCTGCGTTACCTGTTGCAATGGAAGTTTTGGGCTTTAGCTGGTTGTGGGTCACAAGAAAAACCTTGGATGCCAGCTTCAAGGCGAGGGCAAGCAAGCCCGAACATAATTGAGGGGTGTCAGATGTGGGAATCATGAAAGGACTTCGAAAGGGGGGGCTTGTTGTGCATGTACACTTCAAGATCCAAGCCCTCAGTTGCACACGATCGAAACCTCTCACCAAATCGGGTGAGAAAGCTACCGCCCTGCCCGGTCTTCTTAGCTTCTACAAGACGAGTAGTCCCTGAGCTCATTGAAACACACACACACACACACACACGCTCTGATTCGAAACCCAGCAGAAGGCCCCTGCTCTCGCGGAAAAAGGTTCAAGCCATGGCCTTCCAGTCAGGTTCCATGTGAAATAGTGGAAGGCTAGCTCATAAGTCGCATAATGAAAAACAAACTCCTGGCCCCAAAACGATGGCTGTCCTTTGAGTTCCCTCTAAGCCAACCTGTAAAGCTACCAACTCAGAAAACATACGCGCACACACACACAAACCAAACACCAGATCACCCTTCAAAAAATGACGCCTGTTGTCCTGAGCTGCCCGGCGCCAACGCACGGATCTCGCCGTTCTGATTGATGGTGTTGAACGGCCGGAGGCCTAACTCATCCGCTCAGGGAACAGTATGTTGAAATATTATGGTATGTGGTTTCAGTACTCCAGTACCTGAATTCTTTGCATGGAGCCAAGTGCCTAAAACAAAAAGAAGCCTGCGTGAAAAAAATGCCACCACGTAGCAAACAACAGGCTCAAGTCACTTCGCCTAAACTAAATACACAGTCTTGCACGTAAACCAAACCACCGCAAAAGGGTGACCTGAAACAGGGAGCCCTAAAAACACGCACACACACACAAAGCAACCAAACCATCTAAAAAATCGACCAACCAAACCAACCCAACCCAAGCAGGCCGCATCCAACCTAACCTCCCAGGCGCGCAAGCTCCTAACTCCCACCAAGCCAACCGACCAACCGATCAACTGACCAACCGGCAAACCAAACGACCAACCAATCAACCAACCAACCAACCCAACCCAACCCAACCCAACCCAGCCCAACCCAACCCAAGCAACCCAAAAACCCACCCCACCGACCAACCAATCAACCCATTAACCAACCAAGCCAAACCAAACCAACCAACCCGACTCAAGCAACCCAACAACCCACCTGACCGACCAACCAACCCATTAACCAACCAAGCCAAACCAAACCAACCAAACCAACCAAACCAACCAAACCAACCAAAACCAACCAACCCGACCGACCAACCAACCAACCAACCCAACCCAACCCAACCCAACCCAACCCAAGCAACCCAAAAACCCACCCGACCGACCAACCAATCAACCCATTAACCAACCAAGCCAAACCAAACCAACCAACCCGACCCAAGCAACCCAACAACCCACCTGACCGACCAACCAACCCATTAACCAACCAAGCCAAACCAAACCAACCAAACCAACCAAACCAACCAAACCAACCAAACCAACCAAACCAACCAAACCAACCAAACCAACCAAAACCAACCAAAACCAACCAACCAACCAACCAACCAACCAACCAACCAACCAACCAACCAACCAACCCGACCGACCGACCGACCGACCGACCAACCAACCAACCAACCAACCAACCAACCAACCATCCACCCAACCAACGAACCAAACCCAACCCAACCCAACCGAACCGAACCGAACCCAACCAACCAACCAACCCAACCCAACCCAACCCAACCCAACCCAACCCAACCCAACCCAACCCAACCCAACCCAACCCACCAACCAACCAAACAACCGACCAACCGATCAACCAACCAACCAACCAACCAACCAACCAACCCACCAACCAAACCACCAACCAACTAACCACCCAACCACCCAACCACCCAACCACCCAACCAACCAACCAACCAACCAACCAACCAACCAACCACCCAACCAACCAACCAACAGGCCAGGCCAGGCCAGGCCAGGCCAGGCCAGGCCAAGCCAAGCCAAGCCAAGCCAAGCCAAGCCAAGCCAAGCCAAGCCAACCAACTCCACCGGCCAACCGACCAACCGAATGACCGACCAACCGACCAACCGACCCACCACCCACCCGCCCAACCACTGCACACACACACACACAAACGCGCTCACGTGTGCAATAAGCTGGACCCAAGTCCAAACAAAACACCCATCCGAGGCCCCGGCGGAACTTCAGCGGGTTTTGCGTGCGCACTTCCCCGGCCAACCTGAGAAACGGATTTGTGATCCCAACCCTGGCCTGCCCCGACCCAATGTTCACCCTGGAGGGTGTGTCTTTCTTGTGAGGGCACCCTTTTTGGTTTTGGCTTAAAGAAAAACCCAAAGGAACACCCAACCATTTTTGAGGTCCCCTTGTGACACACCCACACACCACTTCTGATCAACCAGAGGTTTGCTAATCCGTACCAACGACAACATGTGTTTTGACCAAGGCATACAGTATATTCCCAACCGCCCCACTCCCTCGTAACCCCAATGTTGGCAAAACCCAAAATTGGCTTGGGTAGCATCCTGTGCATGTGCCAAGGACGGCCGGCAGCAACTGAGTCGCCAAGAGTGTAGCTGCTGCTTGTGTTTTCTAATTACTGCAGTGCATTGCGGGGTACTTGGGCAACCCTAAATGGTTTCTAACAAATGGGTTCTAAATACAAATTACACACATATCCTTGCGTGCAAGTCCCCTAATCCTTGATGTACTTTGACTTCTGTTGGCAGAAGGTGGCACTGAAGACAGTATTGGACGCATCCCAAGCTTTGCGAGCCATGGCCTTTCTGAACTGTCCAAGAAGGGCGGTGCAGGAAAAGCTGAAAAAGTCATGTGCAAAGTTCGGTGGCAGAATCACATCAGTGGCTCAAAGAAGCTGGCTATAAATGTTTAACCTTTGGGGGTCATGGTCATGACTAACATGAACCAACATGCGGAAACCAAAACGTCAAATCCGGTCGATTCGCTTTGGGGTGAGTCAACGGCTGGAAGGCCAACTCTCAGACTTCCCAAGTGCACACCTCCGCCAAAGCAACTGCCGCGCTTGCAAACTGATGATAGGTCCTGGAATTCAGCACTCTCCAGCAGTGCCCGAGGAGGGCCTGGGGTAATTATAGTAGACAGCTTGGTTGCGATAGGGGCCCAGTCGCCCGGGCACCCCCGCGTGCGGTCTCGAGCCGTGGTAATGGGCTCCACACCTGAGGCAAAATACCGTGCACTCCCGTATCAGCTTGCCTCCAATTGTTGGTTTGGATTGGTGGTGTGGTGCTCGAGGGCTTCCCATCCACCCTCTACAATTCAAACCACCAACTAGGGGTTACCTGAGCGACACACACGAAAAAAAGAGCTGTACAAATGGCCGATATCTTGCCAGTCGATGCAAGGCGCGGCCATCCGCGGAAGCAACGAGAATCACCCGGCAGATCAATGGGTGACTCCTTTAAAGCGATCCAGATCCAACCGGCTAATCGATTGTGTGTTACTTAAATCCAACCAGCTATGTAGCGAGATCTTAAATGGGACATCTTTCGAATATCCACTCTATGGGACATCTTCCAATCCTGGGCTCCTAGTTCCCATCCTAGCTTGGCTTAGCCATAGATTTCTAACCTCTGAGGCGGCGACTCGTCTGCGTAAATGCCCACAACCTGACAATCCGGCAGGGCGGTGCGGTTTCTCGGAAAGAGCCCAATGCATAACAAATAATCATAGTCATGCTGGGAAATTCGGAATTTGTACAACTTGACAACTTGAGCCTTACAAGAGTACATCAGGGCGCGGTGATCATTTTTTCCAACAACGCATCTAGCAAGCAACTGAAACCCGCAAATTCATAACTTGCTGCTTTTTAGGCATCTGACGCAAGAACATGCCACAATTAAACAAATCAAATGCCCCTTCATCCGAAAGCAAAGTGAAGGTGTTTATGTTCGGCGGCGGATTCTTGATTCTGGGCCACTCCTGTTCCTCGATCGACCCTCAAACGAATAAAATCATGGACAGATCTTCAGAAAAGCTGTGAAAACAGATCCTCACATGCTGAGTGGATTGGCAAACAAATTCTAATTTCAAGTGTTTGCAACAAACATGGTCTTCGCAACAATGTTAAAATCCAAAAATTCAAAAAGTGACGGTCTTGTAGCCTCATATGGCACCTTCAAACATGAACAAACCCCTGCCCTTTATAGTATGTAGCCAAAGGTTGCCCAGCTTTAATTTTCCCCGCTTGATGTTCAAACGCCTCAATGAGAACACATGATTGTCCTATGATCGGAACGCAAATAGTGCGGCTTATAGCACGTCCTCATTGTATTTAGTCAAGTGCCCTCATAGTACCTGCAGTTTTTGCCACTGGAACGGCAGCCGCTGGCAAGCTGCGGTACTGCTGTAGTACCCGTGCAACGCCCGTGGCGGCTTCCACTACCTACAGTGGTGGCTGCCTGGAAGCACCGAGCTTTGGGCCCACTGAAAGCTTTGGGGTCGCTGCCCAGGAGTTTTTCGAAGGTGCGGCCAGGGGTTTAGGTTTCAGAGATGTCAGGGTTCCAAGGGTTGCGGGCTGCCGGGCACTGGGATCGCTTCTTTCTGTCCGAGGCGCGTCATGCCCTCGATGGGCTCGGAGGACTCTCCCGCCAGTTGCACGATCCATCCTGGCACGAAGGCGCGGCGCAACGCGAAGTCGCAGCGACCAGCTACCCTAAGGGAGGGTTTGCTGTAGGCCCCAAATCGCTGCCTCAAAGCTTACTCGGCTCTGAACATCTATTAGCACCCCTGAGCTGCAACAGATTTCGACTGTCTCTCCTGTAGGTTTCTGAAACAAACTCCTCTGGCGAGTAGAGGGGCCCATGTGTCAAAATAGGGGGCACCACCCTTCCCCATTGTATAAAAGCTTCAGGGGTGGGGATTCATAGAAACAGCCCGAAGTATGTTCATGCACTGTGCCGCAATGGTTTGCCTTGATTCTAAAATCCAGTGCAACCTGTGTGGGTGTATGCGCTGAAAAGCATACAACCATGGTCAGCGGAATTCCCATCTCCATGATGTTTGTACCACTTCATTAGGGATTTCCTTGGTATCACAGACAGAGGCAAGCACAGTGCCTCCAGATACCACTACTATACTGGCCACCTACTATACTGGCAACTGGAAGCACTGGGAATGGCGGGAAAGGGTTCCTTCCGGGGCCAAAAGGAAAAAGGTTCATGCCGATGCGCTAAACAAGCCAGCAGTGCTGTTCACAGTTGGCGTCAGCATGGGGTTCGACTTGATCCTCAGCGCATTCCGAAGGCCCCAATGGCAACGCACAGCTCGAACCGAAAACGTGTGTGTGCGTGCGTGCGTGCGTGCGCGTGCGCGTGCGCGTGCGCGTGCGCGTGCGCGCGTGCGCGTGCGCGTGCGCGTGCGTGCGTGCGCGTGCGCGTGCGTGCGCGATGCGCGCGGCGTGCGGCGCGTGCGCGTGCGCGCGTGCGCGTGCACGTGCGCGTGCGCTTGCGCGGTGCGTGTGCGTGCGCGTGCGCGTGCGCGTGCGCGTGTGTGTGTGTGTGTGTGTGTGGGTGCGTGCGTGCGTGCGTGCGTGCGTGCGTGCGTGCGTGCGTGCGTGCGTGCGTGCGTGCGTGGGTGGGTGGGTGGGTGTGTGTGTGTGTGTGTGCATGGCTCTCCCTTTGACAACCGGTGACAGCCTCTTCATCCACCCATTAGGTCCGTATCAGTGCCCAATAAGCAAGCGGCTTCATGCCAAAAGGACGTGCCCACTACAGGAATCTGACAATTACAATGTACGAAGTGCCTCTTGAGCGTTGACAGCCATGCCCATACCAAGTACAATTTCGCCAGTCAAGCATAATATCAAACCCAGAAATCGTCTAGCTTGCCCTGACATGATCCAATAAGAGCTTCCACTCGTGCTACCTCAAACTCAAATGATATGCTTGGGATGAAGCCCTATTCGCGTAAATTGACGCGCGCTGGGCATTTCAATGAATGCACTTGCCCCATGCCATCAACGCCTACGTGATTGCAATGAACAGAGCTGCCTATGCCAAACGCGGCCCATCTTCGCGGACGCTGAAGCCGCAATTCCTACAATGCGTGCAGGCCCGTGGGCGAGATCATCTAGCTCCGCTTTGCCCCGAACCGCAAAAGATATGGTTCATCGTGATCCATAGCGAGCCTCACAATGGTTTGATGTCGAGTAAATCATTTAACCGTAATAGGAGAATCTCTTATATCAATGGCTGGTTTCCTGTTGGATTCCCTTTTGACAACAAGAAAAGGCGCACCCAAAACAAACACAAACACAAGCACACGAATCAGTCCCAACAGATATCGCATGACCGTTCTTCACAAAGAATGCAACCTTACAGCAGAGTGGGGGGGGGTGGGCGGGGTTGTGCGTAAACCTGCGAAGTCTGCTGCAAACAAAAGGCGGCTGTGAAGATCTTTAAAGCGTAAACATAAACACATCCGAATTGGTTCGCTTGTATTCTGCGTTCTTTGTCTGCTTGTGTGTGATTGGTTGCTTGCTTGATTGCTTCTTAGTACGCATCAACATGCTTAAAACCAACCATGGGCATTCCAGCCATCCAAACGGTTTCGGGAATGTTGGAAGAATATGGCAGCGTATCCACATAGGGACCCTTCCGGGTAGTTGGCGTTCCTTAACATGTCCCTCCAACGCCATGCAGAAAGCGGCTCCGCTTTTGCAGAAGCATTCCCATGTAGAAGCCACAAATGAAACATATGGATGGACACGGGAGAACTGGAGAGTGCCGCTTCTTGTGGAACACTTAAGAGTGAGGCAGAAAGTCCTCAATTGACCAAGTATTTCAACCAATACAAACCTTTCGGAGAAAAAATCAACAGTCTCCCTGTCCCTGAGTTGACCATAGCCTGAGACTTGGCCATGGGTCAAAGTCCCGTACCCCCAGTGAACATCCCAATCCCCAAAGTAGACTAAAATGCGTGCACCTACCCCAAAATGAGATCACCGACAGTTGCTTTTTCGAGGGCCCCCAGCCCGATGCGGAAGATGTAGAGCTCGTTGGCCAGCAGCCGCGCCCTAGCCGAGCAAGGCGAGCCGAGTCCAATGCCTTGGAGATTTTAGGGACAGCAACCAAAATAACTGGAACGGGTTTCTGGGACGCTTAAAGCCAAGTTTGAATAGTTAGTCAGTATTTTAGACTTCAAATCATTCAGGCTTACTCAGCCCCCTACAATATTAGTTTCGTTGGAACACCAGTCTTTGCAACTCGAGAAACTACATGTCCAGTTCCTGGTGGTGTGCGGTGGTTTGGAGATTAGGGGCACCTGTCCTTTTGCAAGTATCCAACTTGAGGATTCAACTGACCACGCCGCCAATCCAAGTCGCTTACTCGACCAGCAGCATGGCTTGGTGCAAGGCCGCTTCAAAAAAAAACGGCTGAATGAGAATAGTTTTGAGGTGACAAACCTCCGTTGTGGGGTCGCTGAAACTGAACACAAACTGAACGGAAAGCTTGATCCCTAGAAACACTTTTAGTATCCCGTGTCAATGGTCACAGCCAAATCCAATTACATCATGTCATTGTCGTTTGGAATGCAAGGCGGGGGGCAAAGGTGTGGGGTGGGAGCGAAGCATGTATAGGGCGGGGAGGGTCAAGACAATTGCTTCAATTCACAAACCATTCAAGAAAACTGGCCCACCAAGGGCAACGGTTGGTTCTCTGCCAAGACGCCCGTTCTGATAATCCAGCCAGAGATGGGCTGTGCGATCCACCCCGCGGCCTGGGCAGTGAAACATACTTGGAGTCATCAGGCCCGCTTCCTTGAGTGGTGTGATGCCAAAAGGTAACCCAAGCTGGAGGCTCTTTCTGAAATGATCTTCCTGAAATGATCTTCCTGAAATGACCTTCCTAAAATGATCTCCTAAAATTTGTGTTTCCTGAAATGACCTTCCCAAGAGCGCAGAGCCCGGAAGTGGGGTCTCATCTCCCACATGGGAGGTCAAAAGGACCCTGTTTGGGGTTCCAAAGGCAAGTCTGGAAATCGAAGGCAGCCGACCTACAAGCCTCGCTGCTGCGCTTCGTCAAGGTGCTCTGCTCCACCATGCTCTGCCAAAAGCGGTCAACCAACTAATGTACGACAGGGTGGGGGGCTTCCCAAAATGGGATTCGGACCCCGTTTGTCTTTACTGGGAAACAAAAAGACACCCACCATTTTAGTGGGCACTACGATTCTGATAAACTTTTATATAAGGGCCTTTGGACAATTCTGCATTGTTTAGAATATTCAATCACCACAAGTTTGGGATCCCCAAGTCAGGGTCCTTCAGGCAAATAACGAGAATTGGGTTTTGGGGTGATCATACAAAACACGTGTTTGGGACTCTCTTTGGCGCCTTATCTTACCTGCTCACAGGAGGATACTGCTCGCGACTTCGATTTTAACAACACATCGACAGTGCCAATTTGCGTGGGAAATTCGGTTCCACACCAAAAAAAACTTAAGGGTGAGGCAGCTTGATGCGCCTGCTGAAAGGGGTTTGGGGTCATCTAAGCAGGAATGAGTCTTGGCCGCCAAGAGGAAAGGGCTTGAACTGGTTTTTTGGGAATATTAACTATGAAACCGCCTCTTCTGTACGAGCAAAATGCGTTGTTCTGGAGCCCAAATTCTGTTCGCATTTTGGCTAGATTGGGCTTGCAATTGCGAGTTTTCACAAAGAAAGCAGTGACCTGCAACAAATTCTGCATGGGCACATTTTTGGGGGTTTTGGCCACACACCGTCACACACTCTAGAATACAGAGCAGAACGTTTTTTTCTTAGTAGGCATTTCTCAGTGGCCGTGAGCCAACTCCGAACAAGCTCCGAACAAACTCCGAACGAACTCCGAACAAACTCCGAGCAAACTCCGGACAATCTCCGAACGAACTCCGGGCGAACTCGGAACAAACTCCGAACAAGCGAACAAGCTCCGAGCGAACTTTGGCATTTGTTGATTTCCGAACAAACCCCCGAGCCAACTCCGAACACACTTTGGTCAAACTGCTTTTTTTCGAGCTTACCAAAAGAGGTAAAGTGATTACAGGGGCCAGTTTCAACAAGTGGCCTGGGAAGGCGTTTTTGGAGGCAAACAAACATGTTCTCAGGCCACGTGTTGAAATTAGTTCTTTTGGTCACTTGATTTTCCTGTTATGCATTTTCCGGGCTGGATTTACTTCCCGGACAAGCGCCAAACAATTTTTGGCCATATTTTTCTTTGGGGGGCTGATTTTTGTGTTTTGGCCTTAAGTTTTAGTTTTTCGGCTTTGTTTTGTCTTTTTGCTCGTGTTTTTTTCCAGGCTGTGATTTGTGCTTGATATTTTTTTCGGGGCTTAATTCTTGCCCCGAACGAACTCCGAACGAACTCCGAACGAACTTTGGCCTTAAGTTTGTTTTTGGAGCTTATTTGTTTTTTGGTGTTGAACTTTTCGGGATTTGGTCTGGGGAGCTGTTTTATTTTGTTTTTGCCTTAAGTTTTTGTTTTTCAGCTTTGTTTTGTTTTTGTTTGCTTGTTTTTGCTTTCAGGCTATGATTTGTGCTTAGTTTTTTTTTTGGGGGGGGCGGGGGGCATAATTCTTGCCCCGAACGAACTCCGAACGAACTCCGAACGAACTTTGGCCTTAAGTTTTTTTTTGGCCTTAAGTTTTTTTTTGGTGTTGAACTTTTCGGGTTTTGGTCGTACAAAAACACTGGAATTACAGCTTGTTCACGCGTTTTGTCTACAAATTCAGTGTTACCAAGGTAAAAAAAACCTTGAAAAATGCTTAATCCAGGTTGTTCAGGCAAAAAAACAGCTATTTCATACGACCAAAATCGGGCAAAACCTTAAGTTCAACACCGGTGTTGAACTTAAGCTTTTTGTTTTTGGAATAAGGTTTTTTTTCCGGATTAAGCCTTGGTCAAGCAGATTAAACTTTGTTTCAGCTTCAACAGCGAGCCTCAGCGCCAACAAGCTTTTTTTTTTGGAATAAGGTTTTTTTTTTCGGATTAAGCCTTGGTCAAGCAGATTAAACTTTGTTTCAGCTTCAACAGCGAGCCTCAGCGCCAACCAAGCTGCGAGATCACCCCGGTAGCGATTTTAGCCCTCCGCAGCTCTCAAGTCCTACAAATCCAGCCCTGAACGCCTTCCCAGGCCACTTGTTGAAACTGGCCCCTGTAATCACTTGGCAACTTTTGGTAATCCCGAAAAAAGCCAAAAAACAGTTTAAACCACCAAAATACTTTTGCTCAAACACGTACTTATGGCCAAAGTGTGTTCGGAGTTGGCTCGGGGGTTTGTTCGGAAATCAACCAATGACAAAGTTCGCTCGGAGCTTGTTCGCTTGTTCGGAGTTTGTTCCGAGCTCGCCCGGAGTTCGTTCGGAGTTCGTTCGGAGTTTGTCCGGAGTTTGCTCGGAGTTTGTTCGGAGTTCGTTCGGAGTTCGTTCGGAGTTCGGAGTTCGTTCGGAGTTTGTTCGGAGTTGGTTCGCGGGGAACCTGGGGCCTCTGAGAAACGCCTACCAAGAAAAACAGTTCTGCTCCGTTTTATGTAGTGTGTGGCCAAAACCCAAACAATGTGTCCATGCAGGATTTGTTGCAGGTCACTGCTTTCTTTGTGAACACTTGCAATTGCAAGCCCAATCTAGCCAAAATGCGAGCAGAATTTGGGCTCAAGAACAACGCATTTTGCTCGTACAGAAGAGGCGGTTTCATAGTTAAGTTATTCCCCAAAAGCAGTTCAAGCCCTTTCCTCTTGGCGGCCAAGACTCATTTCTGTTTAGATGACCCCAAACCCCTTTCAGCAGGCGCGTCAAGCTGTCTTACCCCTAAGGCTTAGCGCGCAGAAACGGCGGGGTCCGCTGGGAAACAAGCAAATTGATTCTTGTTTCGAGGAAACTGGCATCAATAGTACACTTTGAGGTTTGCTGCAAAATCCCTGTTTTTGTTTTTTTGGTTTTGTCAAACCCTTAAGTTTGAGTAAAAAACCATTATTCGTTTTTAGGACCTTAAAACACATAAATCCCGAACGAACTGACCTGACCCATGAAATTTGGCAATCGACAGTGTCCTCGAAAATCAATTGTCGATCAACGGATGAATCAGGAGAGTCGCACTACATATGCATTGCACGAATACGTACCCAGTACAGCGGAACCGTGGACTAACATGGCAGATGAGTACTCTGAAACCAAACTTTTGTCATGGTTTTGGGAACAAACAATACTCAACTATGCATCCCTTATATTGAGCGCCTTGGCTCGACCTGGGGGGATCCAATTCTGCGCACCCCGAAGAAAAATCAACCTATGGAACCCTGACTCTACCATGTTCCGGCTCACCAAACATGGGTGTCTTTTGCGAGGGTACCATATGCGGCAGGTTTTGATGAACATCAAGGGACAGCAGCCCTGATTCTGGACAATATACTATACATTCACAACTGGACACAAGGAAGCCCAAAGAAATCTATGAGTGAGCTCGTTTTACGCCAGGTGAGCTCGTTGTAAGTTGTAATTGGCCCAGCCCCTCATTCTCAGCTTCCCTCTCATCGGTAGTTTGGTTCGGTGGTGCTGGAAAGTGGTTTCCCCTCGTGGTAGAACCAGGGGTTCAAACCCCTCCAAACCAACTGGGTTGGAAAAACAGCCCCATGGACAACCCTTGTACCCTTATGCCCCAGTATCGGTCAGTATCGGTTGGTCAGTATCGGTTGTTTTCCTCTGCGTCGGTTTGCACGTTTTGGCAGCTCTAGCTCGAAAGTCGCGACTTTTCCGTACAAGTGTAGTATGCGAAGCGCACTCATTCAGTACAAGCGTAGTACACAAAGTACATTTTGGCAGCTCCAGCTGGAAAGTCGCAACTTTTCAGTAGTATGCGCAGTACACTTTGGCAGCTCCGGCTCGAAAGTCGCAGCTTTTCAGTGCAAGTAAGTGTACCTGGATCTCCTGGAAGTTAAGAATTCCTACTCCAAAATTGAAAAAGTACTTTTTGGCCTGAGGACACGGGTATTTCCACTTTCGAACGGGTATTTCTACTCTTGAACGGAGGTTGGCGTATTTTTTACGTACCTCCGAACGGGTCCGAACGGGTCCGAACGGGTCCGAACGGGTTCGAACGGGTTCGAACGGGTTTCGAGCGGGTTTCGAACGGGTTCCGAACGGGTCCGAACGGATGCCTGAGCAGTCGGAACTACCCGAACGGGCATTTTAACACGGAGTGAAAATTATCACTCCAGCATGGAAGAAAGTACTTTTTTCTTTTTGGAGTGGGAATTATTAACTTTCAAGAGATGCAGGTAGTATGGTGTAGTGTACGAAGTACATTTTGGCAGCTTGAGTGCGGAAGTCGCAACTGTTCAGTACAAGTGTAGTACACAAAGTACATTTTGGCAGCTCCAGGGAGGCTGCAGGGCAGCTGGTTGGATTCAGCATGGCGGCTAATGAGTTGGGTATCGGTTGGGTATCGGTTTGGGTATCGGTTTGGGCCCCGCAAATTTATGATTCCGCAATCTTGGTTTGCGACAACAACTTGGACCTGATGTGTGTCTTCATGGCTTCTAGGGGTATCTGTTTTTTCTTCTGTATCGGTTTACAATGGTTTTGGCCTGCGAAACAAGTTAAGGGACGGCCCCTTACATAACGAAAAGGCGCGGGGTTGTTTTTTCAGCCCAACTGAGGATCATCAACTAGTAGAGATTCTCCTTCGCACCTGCGCCTGCAACCTGAGTCCCGCGCAACCTGACGGCAGAAACCCCACGGATTTCCGTGGGGCCATGTCCCGACGACCCGAACCCTTCCGGGCCACCGAATTTGCTGAGGCTTTGAGGTTGTGGCAGGTGGTGATCATCACATCGGAGGGCCACACCGTGAACTCCTGGCGAGGCTTTTGGTTTCCTCTTCGTGGTTTGTTTGCTTCTTTGGTTGGTTTTTGCTCGGTCACCTCATTTCAACTTCTTGTTGGCAAACAGAAAGTGTGTAGTGAGTAAGTAAACCATCAACGATATGTCTATTTTGGGGGGACCCAAACAAATGATTGTCTTTCTCTCGTTTTCCCGGTTTAACAACAAATACCAAGACCATACCATCAAGCAAAGACACACCCATCTCGTCTTGCACCGTGTTGTTCTTGTTCACAAACGAGCATCAAGCCGGTCTATTGACTTAAAGGTGGAGACAGAAAAGAGCAAGCAATGACCCAAACACCACGGTTACAACTTCTTTTGTCGTAGCTAGAGGGAAGCCAAAAGGAAACCGACTCATTTGGGATCCACCCTTCTGAGACATCCCGTACAGAAGCGCTTGCAACCAAAAGGGGCCGGCCGCCACAGGGGCCGCCATGTTTCAAAATGGGGGACCCCCCCCCCAGCAGCACCAAGGAGCCTGACAGGGACGAAGCAGAGCTTTCTCCATCTGACAAGGTGATAAAGAACATGCCCCTAAAAGAAAATCCATTCGATTCTGCAACATCCCGCAGCTCTCCATATCTCAGATGAGCACATGGTGAAACATAGCCCTTGTGATACCCAAGTGAGGATTCCCATCCTTGACTCACATCGGCAACATTCAGCCGAGCATTTTCTACCGTGGCAGCCATCCGTCCTCGGGGAAACGCACCTTGGGGCCAAAGGTGGAGCTCTCTTTGACCTCCACGTACTGCAAGCACTCCTGCGCCGCGCAGAGATCTCCAGCCGGTCAAAGGACCGGGTCCCTCGATTTCATGCGTGTGTAGAAGTCACTTTCGCTGCTCATGCTCTTGAATGGCGTCAGATTGAGGAGAGCAAGTAGGTTCCTGTATGGGAGTGTTCCAGTTTTAATGGTGGACCCCTTTTCTTTGGCAATCAAAGAGAAACAAATGGTTTTTTGCTGGAGCCCTATTGTAAGAACACCCCCCAATATAAGTAGAGCGTTGAGTCATATTCGCCTCATGAAACCTTAGAAAGCTGGATGGCGCGGTTTCGGCAAGTAGCCTTTTGATCTCAAAGAGCGACAAACCTTCGAAACAAAGTAGAAGAAAAGGGCGTCGCTTGCAATTGGTATCTGGCCCCACGTCTGAAAGTCCCTTTCAAAGTACGTTTTGATTGCCTTAGGAAAGCTTTGAAAGTCCCTTCGTTTTGAGAGAGAGACGCCTACCTCAAAGCATCAAGCATCATTCCGGCCAGAAACCGCCAGCGGCCATGCCGAGTTCGTTAAACAAATCCAAACTGATTCGTTGGTAGCCCTTGTCCATCTGCGCCAGGTCCAAACAACGTTGTGCTTGCGAAACAGCATGGGGACCTCGTCTTATGATTCGGTTTGGGGTGACTCCTCTACCTTCAAGTCGTTGCCATTTCCCATGGCACGCATTGCCATGGTTAGATCACGGTTGAAGAGGTAGCCACTGGCGTCACTGGCGAGCTCCTCCCCTTAGGCCTGGTCGGCACCCCAACCAACTGGGTCTCTTTGTTGATGGGAACCTCTTTGCTGGGGAGCACAAGGAACCATGTTGCATTTTGTTCGGGGTTCCATGCTGCTGAACCGGTTGCTTTTCATGGGTTTCCCTCATTTTCAGGCCCGCATAAACCCTTGGAAATCCATGTACCACAATGGCAGCTGTCCCATGTTCAAAACGGCTTCCCTCTAATTGATGTTTTGGATTGGTGGTTCGGTGTTCCAGGAAGGTTACCCATTTCTCCACAAGAACCAGGACTTCCAATCCCTCCAAACCACCCCTTGGGGATCCCGGGTTCCCCCCGCCGGTAACCCAGCAATTCGGGTCGATGGATCGCTTGCCTCCTCAAAGGTGAAGCCATAGGGCGCCCTCACCGTCATGTACCCGTCCGTCTGGGCGTCCTGACCTCGGAAAAAGAAAGACAAGCCGAGGCACAGAATTCGCGCTTTTACAATCAATCTTGCCAACCCTGCCCCCCCAGCTTTGACATGTGAATAGCCGGACGACCTGGTCTTGAGCGAAAGCGAAACAGAAGTGGGAAAGCACCACAAGTTCAAATCCAAAAGCAATGGCTTCCGGGCAAAAACCACTGAAGGAAACCAGGGGAAGCCACTGAACAACTGAAAGGAAACTCCAAGTTGTCCAGGGTCCTTGATAGTCATGAAAATCAATCCCGCCCCTCTATTCATTGCTGAGTTGTGTTGTGTTGAAACACTACTTGCTGAAAGTCCAACAAGAACACCCTAGCAGGCCGTGTGAGCGGATAATGACGGTCAGCTGGCTGATGCGCGAGTGGTCGCGTGATTGAATCTTTGCATTGCCCCGCACACAAATCGGAATACATCACAATCTTAACCAAACAAATGAAGTGCGAGATTGGCCTCAAGTTCAAAATTAAGCCATGCTCACCTGTTGCCATGACCAACACAAAACTTACCTTACGTTGAAACCCAAGGAAAAAGGCAACCACTTGCAATCCCTTACCCCCGTTTACTCTCAACAAGAACCGATCCTCGAAGGGCACTTGGACATCTTGGACCATCTGGTTTCCGCAACCCAAAAGGCACAGTGGCCTTGAATTCGACGTCCGGGGCCCCTGCTTAACTTGATGGCGAAAATCAGGTTGTTGGGCTGCCCCGGCCGGTCGTCGCGCCCTGTGCCCAGCCTGGGACTTTCAGTGCTGGGGGGGTTTCCGCAGCTTCAAGGGAGGGAATACAGGCGCGTCCGCACCCACTTTGGTGTCCTTTTGATTTGCCAGACTGGCCTAATGTTTGCACATATCTGTGCTAAGTACTATATATGAATATTAATTTGCTACATATTACACAATAAGCAATATTAATATGCGTATTTGTGTACTGTAAACAATGTACATATAACATTCAATTCATTTCCCAACCAGCCAGCCCCCAGACTGGGGTCCTGAAACTTGGACCCAAAGGAGCAGCGGAACTGGTCCTTGTTGGGGAAGCTGCGCATGTCCCAAAGCCAGTAGACTACCAATGGTGCGCATCATCAACAAGTGGCATTGAGGGCCTTTTGCTGACCCAATCACAAGGGCGCACAACCGCATTCGCTCATGACAGGGTTCTCATTGTGCCTCTCGCAAGTTCAGCGGTTGCAATAGAGACAAGGACGATACGTGCAGCGGGTCGGCTCTTGGGCGCTTCCTTTGGAAAACCGTCCGAAAGAACTTCAGGAGGAAGCCGCCAACCCTAGGAAGCCGGTAGGCGGAAGCTCCCAAAGCTGGAAAACGGGAGCAAACCTCGGGCTGCCTTCAGTTCAGCGATTTCCGAACACGCTCCCCCACGGGGTGGTGGTCGCCGACAAGGGATTACCCGGAAGGGAAACAGAGAACCTTAGGGGTTCTGACCGAAGGCTGAGAACCATTCTGGTGAGAGCCCGGAACTGAGTGACTTGGAAGCCTCAGCGACCCCGGCCTTTGCTCCTCCGTGAGTGTGGGGATTCGTGCCTGGCGCCAGACTGGCCCGCGGCGAAATGCGTGACCAGAAATCGGCTGGGCGTAAATAGATTTCTCTGTCAATATATTGCCCACCCAGACATTGCAACATGTTGAAGCTGTTTCCAATGTCACTAAGATTCTGCCAATGGTTGACCCTTCCAACAGGGAAATATAGAGCTTTGTCGCACTGGTGTGGCCTGACAATGAAGCGTCATCTCACATTGAGCAGACGGGAACACGCAAAATACTCGCCACAGGATTCTCTAGATTCCTCATGCAACAACTGGAATCAGTATACAAGGACAATCATCAGCGCACAAACAGGTGGCAAAAGTGCCAATCATCAGCGGCAAACCAAAGCCCGACAAATGACAGCTAATTATGCGAAACAACTCGAACAAAAACGTCACATAGAAGCAGCCGGCAATGAGCAAGTGTTGCGCAAAGAAGTGCTGTGTGAGTGCAATTCCTTGCAGCATGCTCCGTGTGAACCCTTCGCGCATGGGTCATAGAAGCTATCCAACTTAGGCGCATCAGTGATGCGCCAACCCCAAATAAGGGTGAAGTCGCAACAACCATCAATATGGGTGAAGTCGCAAACCCGCTAAGATGTTGCCCAGAGTCCGCGTATCTATTTGGGAATGTGCCCTTGTGTCGACTTGGCCTGGAGTTGGGGGCCGAAACTGGCAGATTTCTTGTCCAGCCAGGCAGAGGAACACCTGGTTCGGCACCCTAAGCCTCTCAAAAAACCTGGCCCTAAGGGTCCTGGCACAACTATGGGCGACCCAGGGTTTCAACTCGTAGCACGCCCCAAAATTGCTTCAGAGGTCTCACGAGAACCTAAATCGCCCCAAAATCCATAGCCTTCTCTCTGCCATGGAACCTAAAAGAAGGTTGCTTTCGGAAGAAATTGGTCTTCCAGGAGCCTTCCCACAGCTATATTAGGTGTGTGCTTTTGCGAGAGTTCGAACTCCTTTACACCATTGCAGCTCTTAACACACACACACACACACACACACACACCCATCATATGACGGGGGTCCTACCTGGCAGCCGGTTCCCCTCCGCTCCGGCCTCCAACATCTGCCGCGTGATGTCGAAGCCCTGCGCCGCCGTGGAGTAGTCCAGGCGAGTGGTCCTCGGAGATGTGTAGATACCACCAGCCCAAAAGCTAGAAAAAGAGTTGGCGTCCGTTCTGACAAGTATCATTTTAACACAAAACAAATTGGGACCCTTGTGCTCTGGGGCTGAGTTCAGGGCACCCATCCCAGTTGTCCAGTAGACAAGAATTGGAACTTTGTGGGCCAAGAGGGCCATAGTGTTGGAACCCCATCAAAAGGAACCACTGGGCCAGACTGGGCCCATCCAGCTAAGGACTGCGCTTTCTGCCTTTTGCAGGGGGTCACAAGACAGTTGCATTGTGTCACGGGGTGACCCCCGATCGTGGTTCCCTTGAAAATACGCCCCGGGAAGGGCACGTTGCGCTAGCTTGACATTAGATTTACAAGGGCATCAGAATGCCCAAAGCGCAGCGGTAAAAAGGCAATGGTGGCATGTCTATAGCATCGGGTGCACAGTTGTCCAGATGTTTTTAAAATTCCAACCCAAGTCGACATTGGTCGAGCAGCGGTTGCAGGGGTTAAACCATGGCCTTCACAGCAAACCAACGCACCAGGGCCAAGCATAGAGCAAACAAATATTGCTGCTCGCCAAGCATCCGTGATTAGCTAGCATGCGCCGATTCTGCTTGATCAGCCTGGCCCCTCGTTCCACCCAAATGGCCAGAAACGCTCCTTCAGAAATGTGTTCTAACAATAGGGGTCACCTAAAATGATTGCAACCCATTTTGAGAGAAACTTTTTGTACCAACTTGGATCTGAGGGCTGGGCGAAGGGTGCGTGACGTTGGCCATGATCTGAAAGCTCTCAAACACCCAGCAAATCAATGTACCTAAGCGGCAACTAGAGAAACCTTGCGCCGCCTTTCGCGCTTTCTGACTTCCTAACGGATTTCCAGGGCTGCTGGAGGGGCTCAAAGGGAGAGATGGATCCGTGGCAATGGACATGTTCTGTCGCCTGATGAGCTCTCTGTGGCAATGTGCACCAAAACGTGTAGCTGAACCTCAGAAGCAAACCAAGAGATCAAATATGGCTTGCGAAAAGCTTGCTCGAGGACAAATGGTTGTGTTGTTTCGATGGAACAACTTGTGGGTTGGGGTAAACCGCGGCGCAACAACAACTGATGAACTGAAAATCATGTCCATGGAACTGGCTTGACAGGAAGGCCTTCATGCTCCAACTGGGCCTTGTGCACCTGTCGTGATGAAGATTAGGCACGCGCATACATTGGTTGTTGGAAATACCAGCGTGGGCCATCCCTATGGCTAGTTTGCTACGTTTTAGGGAATTCGCTAGGTATCGCAGAAAGTGGCCCAAAAACAAGCCATGCACGTGTGCAAAAAAAACAATCGTGTTGACTTCAGCCACGTGCCTGGCCACTGTATCAGCTGATGCCACGGCCACGCTTGTCAGCTCTCCCATATCCATGGTGGCCCGTCATCTCCGCGCCAGTTTGTGCGAAGTCTATAGAACCTCTTGCCACAACTGGGTTGCTTCTTGAACTCCTAGACAGCATTGTCGCTCAAAAACCACTTGAGCAGTCAAACAGCGCTGTCAAAGTACGTGGACTCCAAGAATGGTGGCTTTCCTTCTAGCGGTTGGGTGAAAGGGAAGCTCACCAACGCACCCACCCAACAAATGGCAACTTGCCTAGTTGTCGAATCCAGAACAGGCCGACGAGGCGCAGAAAATACCGCACGGCAATGTACGTTGGATGCCCCACCTAGTGCAAGTAAACAACCATACGCGGCCACACGACCATGGTAAATGGCAGTTAATTGAAGAGTTTCCTTGTTCCCTTACTTGCGATATTCAGCGCATCCATCTTTTCAACGCACGGGAACCCATGTGGGATAGTTTGCCATTCCATCTAGTTACAGTTGTGACCAACAAGCCACAGATTCAACGAAACACAAAAATATCAACACCGCAACACCCCCACGGACAACCTACCCACCAACAATCCACCAAGCCAAACAAGTCAGCCGACTTCTCAACCGGCCATGCTATCCACACGCAAAACGCATCCGCCAGGGCTCTGTCTTCGACCGTAAAAGGACGTATACACCACTTCACGTATTTCCAACCTCGGAAATCCTGGGCTTCACAGGTGCGAGCGAGGTGCCGCAAGCCAAGTTCCCAGTGCCGCTGATGGGGTAGTTCAGGGTTGTGGTCTGGGCGGAGACACTTTTTTGTGTGTCAAATAGGGACACTCCTCAAACAAAAATGGTGGGCTTCGTTTCGACTTCCCTTTCAACCAAGAAAGGGCATCCTCACAAAACACACACACACACACATCCTTTGGACAGAAGGTGCTGTTCCGAGTTGCATTCATGCTGGTTGATATTCACAGGGAACTCCAAAGCAAATCTGTACATGAAGATCTCTTAATTCTTGTGGGGTTCTATGTTCATCTTAGAGAAGGCTTTTGGGGGGACACCCTTATTACAGGAAACCCCCTTAGCATCGTATCTCGTTGTTTGGTTCATTCGACATTCGGACTATACAGGAAGAAGTAAACCAAAGCCAGCAAACACATTCCCGCTTCAAAAAAGCAAGACTACATGCTTTGAATCGGGAATAAGTGGCTCTGTAACTGGTCATTCAAATCATTCTTCAAGTGGGCATGAGGAAACACGGATACCATCCTTTGGTGTCCTTTGGCTTGTGTCCCTCGACCCTAGTCGAACATGGTTTCTGGTCGCGATGGAAGGGGGCTCCCGTTGGCGTGCACAAGAACTTCCCCGAGTTGTGACATTCCTTCGTCTTCATTTCTCCGGATTGTCTTTGGGGGTGGGAAGGCTCCGAATGGCCAGATGAGACGATTAAAGGGCATGCGCAACGGCCCTAACTTCTGGAACGTGACAACATCTAAGGGAAGTCCAACAACTCCCGTCGAGACCCTGAGCATGTGCAAGTAAAAAAACGAGGCACATCATTTGCTCAAACCAACAAGGAATAAATACCTTTAACAAATCAATAGTGTTGATTTAAAAGTGAAATGGACATTGATCAAATATTGGTTGTGGTAAAACAACTCAACACATGGCAGCCATCTATCAGGTCCATGTAACTTCCTGGTTTCGAACGTGACCCAATGGCTTACGTCTTGCACTGCCAAAAGACGCCACCAACCAATCGGGGTTGTCCACATTTCCCTTTAAGCATCACCTCACCCAGCCTTCATGCCCTTCCAAAGAACGCAGTGATGTTACACCTCCATTCATTAATAGCACCCTCTATTATAGCATGTGTGACTGTTTTGGGGTCCTCAATTGCAGCAATACACAATCACCGAAGAAATCCAAAAAACATGTTTTTACTCTCCTGATCTTGTCTGGCTCAGGCTGGACTAAGCCTCCGAAGAAATACAGGCCAAACAATCCTGGCAAAGAAGTCGAGCAAAATAACAAGCAAACAAATCCGGGCAAACACAAGGCTTTTTGAAGCAAAATTAAGATAACTTCTTTACAAAAAAGTATGGGCAAACAGTCATTCAAAGGGGGGTATAGGGGGCCCTGATCCTCTTTAGGTGACTGTTTTGGGGTCCTCTTTAGCGTCTAGCCTTTTTGGGCAGTGCTGAAAAAAACGGTCCTTGGCAATACTAAAGTAGAATTGGCAATACTAAAGTAAGTACAGTCCCTCCCGGACCCACAGGATTTTGCCCAAAGAGGGTCCAGCTGACTGTCTTCAACACAGACACATCGTTGGATCCGACGGCCCAAGGCACTCAGCCCAGTGGTTGCTGGTTGCGTCCCACAGGATGCAAACGTCACGCATCCCAAAAAGAGCTTGGTGTGTCACAGGATAGGATGCCCCTGCACCCCACGCTCAGACACAAAACCCAACAAGCAATTCAACACTGGAATGTACTGTACTTCATTGCTTGCATTGGGCTGGTTGGAAACACTCCCTCCCAATCTACATGTCTATTTCAATGATATTTCCTTGCGCCACAACGACAAACGGACAGGCAGGCTGCCCGCAAACCATGTTGATATTATCTGACAAATTGACCAGTTGAATCTGTACGAGAAACGCCCCTCTGCAATCCAAAACCTTGGTCATGGCGGTCGCTCGTGTTACCAACACCATGGTGTGTCGTGCCTGTGGATTCTCCGCCAGCACTGCAAAGGCGTGGTGTGCAGCCTTGGTGACTCACATGAGTCGCTCTTAAAACAGATGTTGCAATACGTGACCCAAAATGATGGTGCCCCATGTAGGCTCTCTTTCAGTTTACCCCCCCTCCCCCCAGGTGGGGTATCCTGAAAAAAACACAACCAAATCTACTTGAGGTGTCCTAAGCTGCAAACATGCAGCCCTGATGGCTGAGGTCAGAAGTCCAACTCTGGCAACAAGATTTGGTGAAGTTTGGCCCGTCCTGGCTGGCTTCAACATGTGGACTGCTCCATAAGGAACCGGTCGTTGGACCATGGCAATACCTGTGGCTTCCCGGCGGGAACATGTTTCTGCTGTTTCGCTAAAAAAAATGCTTCAAACCGATACTTGTCTTGTCCAAACGGCAACGTTTCCCCACCATTGGACTGTCTTCGAAGTGGCATGTTGTTCAAACGGCAGTTTTGTTGGGGGGGCAAACGACGTGTTGTTTCGCGAAACGGCGAACAAAAAAAAAAGAACATGTCTTTTCGCCCCAAGTCGCAGGTATGGCTCGCCCCAAAAATGCAGACCGGGCTGGCGACACGGGGCCCAGGCCGGCAGACCGTTCGGGCCGGCTCGGAGCCGCAGCACCAGCTTGCCATTCCTCAGCGACTCTCCGGTCGAGAGGTTGGATTTGGGATGGAATCCGGGTAAGACAACCCGCTTGGCCAATGGGTACACAAAAAAAAACGATATTCTCCAACTCTGATTGCATATTTCGCGTGTCCTGAGATATGAAATGGCTTTGGAGACCCCAACAACCCCTTGTTGGAACATGTTTAAGCCACGAGGCCTTTGACAACCCTGCTTGCAAGAGTGCACCGACTTGTAAGACTCATGTCACCGACTTCTTGCTCAAATGGCTTAAAACAATTTGTCTACACAACCTCCCTCTTGGTTTAATTACCAATGTAAAAAAAGTGAGAAACAAAAGAAGAAACACAAACGCGGGGATGGTGTCTTAAACCAGATGCTGCCCAGCCCGCAGCTTTTGTGGCTTCGGCTGGCAACTTCAAAAGTGCAGACGAGCAGCGCCTCTAACATACGTGTTTGTTGCGTTGTTTTATGTGGTAGGTAACGGTAAGTATATGTTGCTTGCTTGTCTTAATAAACCCATTGTGTGTATGTTGATAATTGTTAGTCTATGTCAATGTGTTTGGACGGTTGGGGGTGACCGGGGAGCTGTCCGATAGGAAGCGACAGCAAAGGGAAGCATCTTGGCCGTTTGAACGCCAACAAAAGCAATGACACTTCAATGGCCATGCATCTTCAGGATCAACTCCCTAAGTGCCCTTTTGGACACACTAACGCGCACATGTAAATGATTAGACTGGCTGCTTTTAACAACCACTTGAACCGAACCCTGGCAAATCAGCCGAAACAGTCTATAAAGCCTCCTTTAATGGCATGAGTCATGCCAGCATGGCGAGTTGTTGATGCTGAAGTCACAAAGGGGTACCCGGGTCTTGTTGAAGCCAAGCTTTGCAACAAAACCTGCCCGGGTTTTTGGGGATTGTCCCACGAATCAAACATGGAAACCCTTCATGCTTATCTAGGTCCTCCAGTATAGAGGTTAGAATACGGGTACCAACGTTTTTTCTGTAGTCTATTTTAGTAACCCTCCCCCAAAAAAGAAACGGTGAGAAAGGGCACCTAGCTGGGGGACCCAAGCCCCAAGGCCCAGATCGCGTCTCTGACCAGGCGCAGGCCCAACGAGCTGTCGAAGAAGGCCTCGCAGTTCAGCGGATGAGGAGCCGGCGCCGTTGGGTCCCTGGCGTCGAAGCGGGTCAAAGGTCGCAACCGGACAAACAAAGACATGTGCTTTGGTGGTCCTATGAACACAGCACGGCCGCTGCCCAAAGCCGTGAGCTCTAGGGCACTTCCATTTATTCAATTGAATCCCTCAAGGGTGAAGTATCAGGTATTGTTGGTCTGGTCTTGAATCCCTGAAGGAGAGGAGGATGTTTTGGTTGTCCGGATTTATTCTTCAGCCTTCCAACCGCAGAGGGAAGGCAAAGGGTCAACATAGCTGTTTCATGCAAGCCCGGGGAAAATGCTAGGGTTCCATTCCGTATTCCTTTTGAGAGGAGTGTGAGGCGGGCAGGCAGCATCTTGTCCCGAACTTGAAAGCCTCGGACCATTTGAGCGTGCCCATGAGAAATCCCTTCTGGCCGGGATGATAATGGCCAGGTGTCAAGCAAAAAGCCTTGTTTCGGAAACCGATCTCAACTTGCGGCAAAACCAACATGTCATAATGTCCACATACGATTAGTAACTTCCCCTGAACAAAGCTAAACTTTTTCCCAAACGAAATCATAAACTACCCCTAAACAAAGCTAAACTTTTTCCCCAAAAAAATGTTATGTTTTTTTTTTTTTTATGTTCAGGGGCACGCTTTCCATTCAAGCTGGCTCATCAAACATGATTCTTCCATCAGATCCCAAACATCTTGAGTGATTCCCTTCATCAAATTCTTTATCTGGAAACCTTCAAAAACACAACTTGACCCTGCCAGCAAGGCTACCCCCCATGAAGCCTCATGCACTAAATAATTCCTGACCCTAAATAAAGCTAAGCTGATTCCCGCTGATCCAAAGCTTGCTCTCTTATCTTTATTCAGGGGCAAGCTTTCCATTCAAGCTGGCTCATCAAACATGATTCTTCCATCAGATCCCAAACATCTTGAGTGATTCCCTTCATCAAATACTTTATCTGGAAACCTTCAAAAACACAACTTGACCCTGCCAGCAAGGCTACCCCCCATGAAGCCTCATGCACTAAATAATTCCTGACCCTAAATAAAGCTAAGCTGATTCCCGCTGATCCAAAGCTTGCTCTCTTATCTTTATTCAGGGGCAAGCTTTCCATTCAAGCTGGCTCATCAAACATGATTCTTCCATCAGATCCCAAACATCTTGAGTGATTCCCTTCATCAAATACTTTATCTGGAAACCTTCAAAAACACAACTTGGCCCTGCCAGCAAGGCTACCCCCCATGAAGCCTCATGCACTAAATAATTCCTGACCCTAAATAAAGCTAAGCTGATTCCCGCTGATCCAAGACTTGCTCTCTTATCTTTATTCAGGGGCAACCGTTCCATTCAAGCTGGCTCATCAAACATGATTCTTCCATCAGATCCCAAAAATATTGACTGATTCCCTTCATCAAATACTTTATCTGGAAACCTTCAACAATCACAATTTGACCCTGCCAGCAAGGCTACCCCCCATGAAGCTTCATGCACTAAATAATTCCTGACCCTAAATAAAGCTAAGCTGATTCCCACTCTTGCAAGAGTTCTTGGCCCAATACTACTTTAGATTTGGCCCAATTCTAAACTAGTATTTCCCCCAAAGCAAAATAAGAAAAAACAACATGCCCAATACTACTTTAGCATTGGCCCAATTCTAAACTAGTATTCCCCCAAAGCAAAATAATAAAAAGCAACATGCCCAATACTACTTTAGAATTGGCCCAATTCTAAAGTAGTATTCGAAAACCAAAAAAACAGAGCCCAATACTAAACACATTCTAAACTTGTCCCGACCCTGATTTTTTCCCCCTTAACTTTATTTAGGGGCATTCAGGGGGGGCCCTGTTTATTAATCAGAGGCGGGCATTACCTGACAGAAGCGCCCCTTGGTGTTAAAAACATTCTCCTCTAGCAGGGACTCCTTTTGTTGCTTACTCCCCTGCAAATTTGAATGGAACCCAAAGAGCCATCATTTCTACCTGGAGTCTCCATAACCCTCAAAACATGAGGTCGAATAAAATAAAAGTGGTTACCCCCTGTTGGGAGACTTAGAGGCTAAGGTCTCATGTGTTGGTTGGCCAAAAGCCAAAGTCAAAGGGAACAAATTGACCAGCCCCTCCCGCCAAGTCAAACCCATGGCCATTGGGAAAGAGTGAACCTCAAGGGCTTGGTTGCCCCATTCTCTTCAACCATCGTTGTTTTCAAAAACCAGCCGTTTTCCCTGATATTCTGGAGGTTTTCTAGAAAGAAGGATCCCTAGAAAGAATGGGGAAGGTACTCCTAGAGAACACCGGCCACCCTTCAGGTTCTGTGAATTTGCAGGGCATATCAGGGCATCTCCTTCGAACGACCGAATCTTCGGACAGCCTCACGGGCACCAGCTCACAGTCGGTGTCGAACTTGTAGCCTGGCATCCAGGGAAACCGGGCCGAGAGCAGCCCGAAAACCCAAAAAAAAACATCAGACACCCGTTCAACAGCGAGAGGCGTGGGGTGTTAGCCAAGTTGCTGTGCGGCAGGTTCCTGAAAGAAGGGCAGGTAGGCTGTTGGGGATACTCCTTGACGTTGTCTCAAAAGGCTTGAAAGGGGGGGGGGAGACTCCCCGGTCACGTGTCCAACACTCATAGCTGAGTCTACCAACAGGACTCAGAAATCAACGCCCTTTTGGGACGAATGAAACACCTCGAAAACCAAAAGGTTCAAACGGTCAGACTTTGGATTCAGTCCCATCAACCATCCAGCCCCCAACCCAAAAACAATTCCACGAAGTGGTGTGGGACGCCGGAATGCATGAACGTAAGGTCGATCTAAGCAGATTTTGTGTGATCAGAGTTGTCGGGCCATGGCCCTGCCACATGGTCATCTCTGAATGCAACACCGCCAACAAGCTCATTGCCTCACATAAGGCATCCTCCACAAAAAATGATGGTTGGGCAACAAACAATCATGAGGAGAGCGGCTATGTCTGCGAGTGTGGTCCAAGAACAAAATATGTCTGTCAACATGCCTGCGCGGGATGTGTCTTCGACGTCAAGCAAGCGCGAACCAAGCATCCATCCATCAAGTGCAGAGCGAGCTCGCATTGGCGATCACTGCGTCGCGTGCTAGGTCAATGCAACAAACAAACAGTATGCATTACTCTCCTGCAAACTAACATGGGTCGGGAAGCCGCTAGACAACTGCCGGACACTGCGCATGAACTATGTCCCGGCTCGGCCTTCTGGCACCGTGATCTCAATGCCGCCGCCTGAAACGGCGGTGGCTCCGAAGCGATGGCTCAAAACGCGCGAGCGGTTCTGTATTCAGGGTGTGTTGTTTTGAGGGTAGCCGGGTAGCCTGTTTAACTACCTTGGTTAAAGGGAAGCGAAAAGCAAGCCATACATGTTTGGGGTCAAACTCCCACTAGCCGCATGGGATTACCATGATTAGTCACCCAAGCAGTAGGTTCAAGGACACCATTGCTGCCTTTGACAGCACTCAAAACACCCTTGTTCAAGAGCCCGTCAACTGGACATGGCACATGGGGAAAACAGAAACCTCAGAGAAGCTCCCAATTGTGGCGGCAGCCACCCTAAGAGAAGCAGCAGGACAAACGATGTAACAACTTGCTAGACCAGTTCACGTGATGACCAGACCTAGACCCCTCTTCGCAAAATCTGCGTGGCTAGCCAATTGAACCAACCCAACGCGTACAAAAGGGCTTGCTGGGTTTTGATAGGGATATGTGCTGCGCGCCTTTGAACTCAAAAAAACGATATCTGAAGCAAAACGCGCAAACTACCTACCATGTCCTTACAGGACTCCTGGTAGCTCCTTAGCTCCGTGGGCAAATCTGGATACCTTCCAACTCCTTGGCTCCCTTCCTGCCAGCGAATACAAAGCATCTGCACATTGCCGATCAGGGCTTGGATCGAGGTCTTTCTTGCCACCCCTAACCAGGATTCCTCATGATCCATTTGCTCAAGGCGCACACAAATTATATGTATACGCAGTTTTCCCGGACATGACCATATCTCTCTAAAGGCAACAGTGGACGAAAGCCCCAATTAAACGAACGTAATTCGCATTAAGACTTGGAGCCACCCTCCCCTGGCCAACGAGGCCAACAGTCCTGATGGGATGAAGGTAATGGTCTCCAAGCGGAACTGGACCAGATTCTCCTGCCGTTCTGTCGCGGGAGATGCGGGCGGATGGTCAAAGTCACTTGGCTGTGGGTCAAAAATAGGTACCCGTTTTGGGATCCCTGGTACATGGAACCAAAGACTAAAACCTGCGGTCACCTGGTGGTTTGCTTTTGACCCATACCCACTTAACAGGAACCCGTACACTTGTCTAGATTCCTAAAGGGGTCGACGATGACCAGCCCCACCGAGCCCGAGTATTCCCTGTGTTTCAGGGATCCCGAAACGGCTCATTCCGAAAACCCAGAAATCGATTCCCTGCTGAGCATCAGCAAGTTCTGCACATGTTGGGCTCCTTGCCAACAATGGTAGTGGCATAGTCCACTTTCGCATTCTTCAGCGCCCGCACTGGGGGTGCCTGGCGCTGACGAGCTACAGGCGATTCGCGACAAAACGTGGACAAACAACAATGTACAGCTCTGCAATCAAAGGGCCAACCAACACCCTTTTGTCACAAGCCATGGCTTCGAACAGAACACAACCAAGCTGGTTTCCTAGCAGTGTCCCTGCAAGGCCAACGCAAAAGCTGTCATGTTGGGACAAATCACTGTTCTATGCCTTCCTGACTTCTATCGGCTCACATGACCTTACCCCCGGCCATGGATGGAGATGTTTTGGTGCTTGACTCGGAAAGGGAAAACCCACAAAACAAAAAACACACATGATGACACCAGCAAAAAGGGACTACTGAGAACCAAACGTCGTTTCATTTGAAACCGCACGACTTTGTTAAACAAAAAAAGTAGTCGTAACAAGAGGAATCCCATCGACCATAGTGAGTTCAAGGAAACTCTACCAAAGCCATATATGGACAACTTACCCACGGACCCGTCTAGAAAAAGAAACTGCCCCGTCCCGCAGATTTGGAATCTCAACATACCACTAATAGTCCAACGCGCAAACTTGGCCAAAGAGCGCAGTGCTAAAAGACACCGCAGAGAGGCCACCACTGGCTCCAGGACACTTAGCAGCGAATGTAAAAGGAAAATACTGAGTTTCCCAGCGGAATCTCTAAAACGACAAGGAATTCCGACAAGTTTATCTGCAAAATTCAGGAACCCAACGGAATCTGAAAAGCAAGTGCAAAGCATAGTGAAAGCCACAAGCGACAGAACTGGGTTCCAGAATTTCCGGCCTGCACGAAGGCTGCGGCAGGTCGCTCGGCCCTCGGGACTTGGGAGACTGGGAGACCATTTTAACACTAACCCTGTGGCGGGTTGCATATGGCAGTTTCTCAAAAATAGGGGAACCCCAAAAGTGGTCAGGTTCCTTTTCGTTTCCAACTGAAATAGTGAAAGGGGGAGTTCCTCTATGTGGAGAAACCGCCATGTTGCTGGGCAGGAGAACTTTATGCCTTCGCATACTGTACAATTAAACCTGAAGCGGAAAACGTAAGAGGGAACCCAAGTCAGGCTGCCACAAGCAGTTGACCCAAAAATAGTACCATACTTTTGCCAGATTCACATTAACCTCGCTGAAATCACCAAGCTGTCAGAAGGTGGTTGGTCAACATGGATTAGTTGGGATTGTTCGGGTATGGTCAACCTGTGCATCTCCTGTTTGCTCCGCGCCATGAGCATAAACAATATTTCACCGATCTGAAATAGAAACCCCAAGAAGGAAACCTTCCTGAGGTCGAACACCCGCTGTGTGAGCTCGCTATTGGCCCAAATGAATCAGCCCCGAGTGGGTCTCTGACACTAATCCCCGAACAGTCATCAGGTTGCAGGAGGTGTCCTGGATTCGCACTCAATTCCCACAACCCTGTAAATCAGTGTTTCTGCAGATTCCTCTGCAAAAGTCTTCGGATCCTGCCAAAGTGGAGGGTTGGCCAATCCAGATTTCCATTTCAATCGAGCGCCCACTAGCCCACTGTGTGGACATATGACACTTTCTGTAGGGGGATTCCCATCCGACACACTGCCACTTGGCTCCCAGAGATTGGCTACCCATGTTTCAACCCGGCCCATCCTTTCCTTCCGAGGAGCTTACAGATTAAGAAATGGCCCTGTCTGGCCGCCGAGTCGGAAAGATGCGTGGATTCTCCCCAAAAAACAGCAACAAGCAGAAAGAACATGCTCATTTCTATCAGGAACCAACTCGTAGGCTGCAGGTTTGATGGGAAGCACCAGTCCGAGTGCTGGTCCTGGATCGTTCTGACAAGCTAGCCGCTCTAAATCACAGGCAGACAGCGAATCGGTTCCAATATTATAGACATACAACATTGTGGCCGCAAACATGAAATACCGAGTCACTAGCCAAGATGTCTTAGAATGGGACCTGCGAGGTCATGACAATGAACAAAGTGCTCAACCAACTGTTTGGTCAAAATATGGCAGGGTGGGCAACAGTGGAAAAAAAGACAGAAGAACGATGTTTGTTCACCATGATCCACCTTCCCCCTGCAATCTTCCGCTGCCATGGCATGCGCGGAAGTGAAAGCTACACAACTTGCAAATCACTGACGTTATAACCTTGGCAAAACTAACAAGTCAGTGGGTGATGCGCGTGGCTCAGTTGCTGCTTGTTTAGCTTGCTAATTGTTCGTTCGTTAGCCCGAAATTTGGTTGGATTTGTGGTTTGGGATTTGAACCACTGGTTCTTGCACCCCCTAATCCGAAAATCTCCAATCCAAACCACCAATTCGAGGGACCCTCAAACGATGACCAAAATGCAGTCGCGGGACGCTGCGGAATGCTGATTTGTTTAGGGTGATATTCGGAGGTGATTGTGTGTAGTGAGGGTCAAGCCTGAGGCCATACTTGGGTCATGGGGAAAACAAACCCAGATAATCCCCTGTATGGGTTCACAGCACCTTCCTTTAGTTTCACAACTGACAGCACTTCAAATCCATTATCCAACTAAGCCATCAGTGGACGGCCTGCAGGCGCTGAGGTGCAGCATTAGCACAAATAGCTCATTCAATTCTTCGTGGTTTTGGTTTTATTATGAAAAAGCGCCCAGCCAGCCTTGCTTTTCTCCGAGGCACGTGTTGCTTGAGTTGAAGCCCATCTCAAAGAAGAAGGCATTGGTGGATGCAGTGGGGGTCATCGATGGCACCTGAGGCCAGAGGCCAGGCGCAAATCGGTCTTTCGCTTCGTCCTTTCCAATGGCCCGAAGCCCGAAACGAGGGGCCAAGAAAGCTGTGCCCCTCAGATCCCCCGGCTAAAAAAATAACTTTTGGTGGCTTAAATGGAAACTACAACTAAACACTAAAAGGCTAAAAGCTAAGAGGATGGCTGGGAGCCACCAAGAAAAAATAATAATGAAGCAACACCTTGCTCTTACGTACCCAAAGGACCTGGAAATATAAAGATTGACCTCTTGGAACCTTGACCAATGGATCAAGGGGCACTCAAAAGGTGGCGAGGTCCAGTGGACGGATCTCGGACCTTTTTTGGGTCTCAGGGGAAGCCAAAAGGAACCCCACAGTTCATCCTGAGTGGATTGGCCAACTCCAGTCCAAACGTCTTACAACTAAAAGGGCTTTCCCAAAAAGTCTAAAGCCAAGCAATGCACGGGAGGGAGCTTTGGTTTGGACCGACGTGGGTCGATCGCAGCGCCTCCACAGGCGCAGTGAAGCCATAGATGGCGAAGTCCTGGAAGTTACCCGGCCTGGGAGGGTCGAAGCGGTTTGACTTCATGGTCAATATAATTCATATATGGCCGGCCGTGGGTCAAAACCAATGGTACCATTTTTGGGTGGGTGCCCACCCATTTTAGTCTATTTTAGTGGGGAGTGGGATGTTCACTGGGGGTCGGGATTTTGACCCATGGCCAATATATACATATATATATATATATGAGTTTGTCTCATTGTAGAGTACCCCCTTTGGGGCTTGGCTTTAAAAGGAAAGCAAAAGGAACACCACCCATGTTGGGAGTCTCTCTCTATTTCAAGACAAACCCTTATACACCTGACTTCTTCATAACCCTTTAAAAATTGGGTCATTACTCAAAATAAGGGTCATTGAGATGTGGAGACCGCAGGCAATGGCATTAAAACAAGGAGAATGGAGTTGTGGGGTACTTTGAAGACCATGCTAAGTCATGCTCATAAGAGAACGATGATTGTGTAATTATGTGGCTCCTTATAGTTAGTTCCCCAAGCCTATGATTTGCCCTCCAACGTGGAACTCTGGAAACCACGTGTCCGTTCAAGGGACCTTATCCCACCAGCTTCTAGGCTAGTGGGAGAGAAGGCGAATTTGGTCTACTGTCGCTTTAGTGAAGGGCAAACATGTATGTTAGACGTCACCAAAAGTTTACGCAGTCCCCAGAAAGACCCGCAAGACAAACAGAAAGGTTTCCCAAAAATGACCCCACATTAAGGGATCGCTGTGAGCGCTGAGTTTTCCCTTAAAAGCAACCCCGGTTGTTGACTGTATTTCAGCCACTCGTGTAGCAGTGTCATTTGCATAATCTGTGCAAACAATGGAATGTCAATCACGGCTCCCGACCCGTTTGCTCTCTAGCAATCTTTAGTCCGGAGCAAGGTGATGCCCGCTGGTCAGATGTCCTTGAGAGCTGAAGCCATGACGTATGAAGAGTTGAAGGAGGTAGTTCATGGTTTGTCATGCAGGTCAATCCCACCCAACTCTCTGCCAGAAGTTCCAGCAGGCTCTTTAAACTGTGCAATCTTCCCGACGCCTGAACTAACCGGGACTACTCTGTGATTTTACAAAACACCCCTCAGGAAATGCACATTTCGAAAAAGGATCAAGACTTCCAAATTCCCGAAATCTCAGCAACCATGTCGGGATTAAACTCCCAAACAACACAATATCTTCAAGACTTTGGGACTTGTGGGAACTGTGGGACTTCTCGAGTTGTTTCTTGGATTGTTGCATTTACTTGTGACTGTTGGGAACTAGGGGAATTCCCCCCAAACACACTCTCAAAGTGTTTGGGAGTTTTGCATCTATTACGGATATTTTTGGACTGTTCATCAAACTGAGGCGTGTCCCCCTACGAACCTTGATCTGAGCTCGAGCTTGTGACTTCCTTGTTTGGTGTTTGTCAGTGTTTCATTTACCTACCGAGTGAATCTTGGCATGCCACACAGAAATGGATGTGAAACATAATTCTAAGAGTTGATTCCCCATTACTCCCAACCATCGTTCTTTTTCAAGAACCGGATCCGTTTCAATGGGTTTCCGGAGGTTTCTCGAAGGATCCCTGGAAATGGACATGGAAGGTAGCACTAGATTGATTGTGGCCTTCAAGGACGTGGATGGCTGCTTTCAGTTGGGCAAAGGAAGTTGGGTGCCGGGGTGGAAAGGCTGCTAGGTCCTCCAGTAGAGAGGTTAGAATAAGGGTACCAACTTTTTTCTGTAGTCTGTTTTAGTGGGGAACCCTGCCAAAAAAAGAGTAAAAAGGCACTACTGGGGGACCTAGGCTGTCTAGATGAAAGCGTGACACTTGTTGGCAGGAGGGAAGCTGCTAATGCTACTCGCCTGCTGAAGGTACCTGCAAGGGGCGGATCCAAGACTGGCAAAAGCGTCATCTTTGCTGATGTCAAGGCAAAGAGGGATCCAGCCAGCCAGCAGCTGCATGGTTGGCCCAACCCCTTGTTTAATCAGGTTCAAACGCCTACGACTCAGGACATCCTCCTGTTGGTTTCCCTTCAAAGGGGTCAGGGCTTGGTTGTTGAAACAAAATATGCCGTCAATCCTGTGGCACCCAGATTCTCCCAAAACACACAGAATCTGCTCCAGGCCCCGACTGAAAGATCAGCGTGTTGCTGCCATCTCGTGGCAAAGGTGGGCCTGCACCGCAGGAACACGAGGCGGGGCAAGGTTCTGCCGGGGCTCAGAGTTGACACGATCAGACGACACGAACAAAATCCCTGTTGCGTGGCAGGAACTGTATGCCGTCATTCACCAAACAAATGACACATGAGAAATAGGATCGACCCAAAGTTCGCCACCCTGAGAGACCATTGTCAAAGTGCAACACACACATGGCAACACCCGGGCCTTGTTCCTGCCTGCAAACCAAAAGAGGTTCCACTGAGTCAGCTAAGAGTCGAACTGACCACTATGTATTGACAGCTCCGAAGGCGAACCTGAGCACCTATACATCGCCTTAACAAATGACTTCATGTCATTATGCAATGACAGGCCAAATTGCCAAATGTTCATTACCAAACAAAAAACTACAGAACAACGGTTGCCCTGAGACCACACGCTAGTTCAATTCATAGCACAGTGTCAACATTCAATGACAGACCAGGCTGCTTTCAAAACAGGGACCCCTAACAAATCGAAATTAGGTTATTTTGTTAAGTCAGACAGCGATCCGCTTGAAAAACACAACAACTACAACAAATTAGATAATTAGAAACCAACCTCCCCTAACCGAGCAACGGAGCAACCAACCAACCAACCAACCAAGCAAGCAAGCAACCAACCAACCAACCAACAAACCAACCAACAAACCAAGCAACTTGACAACCAAGCAACCTAGCAACCTAGCAACCTAGCAACCAACCAAACAACCCACCAGGCGACCGACCGACCGACCGACCAACCAACCAACCAACCAACCAACCAACCAACCAACCAACCAACCAACCAAGCAAGCAAGCAAGAAACCAAGCGACCAACCAACCAACCAACCAACCAAGCGACCAAGCGACCAACCAACCAACCAAGCGACCACGCAACCAACCAAGCAACCAACCAACCAACCAACCAAGCGACCAAGCAATCAGCCAAGCGACCACGCAACCAACCCAGCGATCAAGCAACCAACCAACCAACCAACCAACCAAGCGACCACGCAACCAACCCAGCGATCAAGCAACCAACCAAGCGACCAAGCAACCAACCAAGCGACCACGCAACCAACCACGCGACCAAGCAACCAACCAAGCGACCAAGCAACCAACTAAGAGATCAACAAACAACCAAACCAAACCAAACCAAACCAAACCAAACCAAACCAAACCAACAGCAAGCAACAGGTCAAAGATCATCAAATTCGCTCAAGATCCGCCTGGTGGGAAATCTGCAGTGACCCCAGCAGGCACCAGCTCGCGCAAGGCTGGCGCATGTGGCAAAACCCGATGAGCGACCAAAACCCAGCGAAGGCTTCTGGGCTTTGCCATCAACAAATACAACCACCTAAGGGTGGCCAGGGGCGTTGTTTCCTGATTGAGAAGCGGAGTCCAAAGTTGCTGCGTTCCACGAACGTGATTCCGGAAACCGTAGAAGTAAGACTGACATAGACAAAGTCTCATGCCGGCCAACCCAAACTGGCTCAGGAGGAAATGCTGAGCACTCCGTGTGAACGAATCGCTGGAAGGCGTGCACAGTGCACACAAGTAAAGTGTGGTCATCTCCGGAATGAGCTCCTCAGCTCAGTGATCTCGTTTCATGCGAAGCTGGTAAACTGGCATTACAAACAGAAAAGTACTCAAAATAGCCTATGCCCCAGCATTGGAATGCAAGGGTGCAATCCATGGTCATGAACATCAGATTTATTGACTGTAAGCGCCTCCGTTATGAGCTATTCGGAATCTGTCCCTCCCATTGTTAATCATAGCGATTGGAACAGCCACGATATATCACTGATCTACTCGATGATTGAAGGTGGATCCACGCGTGGCCATATCCTTCGTGACAACCACTCGGCCCAACCCCGGGTGCACCAAACCTGATATGCTCCGTTTCATGAGTCACTCTGAAACAAAAACACACACACAATACTTCCTGAAGATACCACAGAACAGTTCATGCTCAGTGCCGTAGCTCGGGCTTCTATAGAACAAAGTGAGCCTTCAGCGACGCTTTTCTTCGCTCATGCATCTGCCGAATTAGGTGAGCGCTTTGTGCGCGGGCGAATTGGTCTCAGGCGAACGACACACACCGTCCGCACACGGAACACTGTGGCTCCACGTACTGGCGCTGGTGAGACGCTTGAAGATTCGAAGGTTGGCCGGCGTCATGTCGTCTGGTCACTCGATTTCAAGGTTTGACGCACGAAAATGCTTGCATCGGCTCAATTAGTTAAAAGGCTCACTGGTGTAATGAATTAATCGAAATGGCCGGTTGACAAGAATCATACAGAAGATCACAATGACTACAAAAGCATAGTTGTGCGTATGTATGTATGTCATGTAATGCAATGTAATGTAATGTAATGCAATGTAATGTACGTAATGCAATGCAATGTAATGACATGTAATGTAATGCAATGTAATGTAAAGTATGTAATGTCATGTAATGTAATGCATGTAATGCAATGTCATGTAATGTAATGTATTGTGATGTGATGCAATGTAATGTAATGTATGTACGTACGTGTGTATGTATGCATATATGTATATATCTATATGTACATGTATGTATCACATAAAACCTCAATCGCACAAACCTAATATATACAGTTCTTTGCAGTCTGCAACATGCACCTACCTAGCTACATCCTCGGTCACTGCGAGGGGCCGGAGCAGGCCGGAGCCCAAAGCATCCTCCTGCCAGGCATTGACCAAAGCTAACTCGGATTCCGGATTCGGAGGGATACTTGGCTGTTTCTTTGGGGATACCCTTGTCACCTTGGCTTAAAGGGCAACCAAAACAAAAAACACCATAATCGTGTGTTTTTGTTTTTGTCTTGATCTTTTTTTGGGGGGGCACTTGTCTTGACACACACCAATTTGCACAAAAGGCAAGGAAACAAAAGATGGCATTCAAGCACCTCTACCAGAAATGGCTCAAACTTTGAAGAGCCAACGGACAAAACGGGTTTAAACATGGGCCTATGGGTGCGTGTGTATTTTGAGCGGGTACTCTGTTCATCTTGGTCTAAATGGAACGCCAAAAGACAAAATATCATGTTTAGGGTCTCCCCCCATTTTGACATCCATTAATGTTAGATAGCGATTAATAAAACGGGAGTGAATACAGAAAAAAAATCTCATTTGTTTTCACTCTCCTGAAAAGCAAAAAGGGCAGGTATTACAAAAAACAAACTGCCCGAAATCCCGAAAATATGTCCCCTTCCAAGAATGGACTATTTTTGAGGGTTGAAACGTTTGAGTCCAGCCAGAAATGTCCAGATTTTCTGGATTGCTTCCTGTCCCAAACCACCAAATTCCTTATCAATCCCTTTACTAGAAGATGCACCCTGACAAATTTTCAAGGGGGTGGCACACGGAACCCCCAGGAAGGCAATAATGCAGTTTGTTTAAGGGTAGGGAATTGTGAAGAAAAAAATGGCCAGGGCAGCCTGCCAAGAAGAAAGCCGTGCTGTTCTCAGATAAAGCCAGAAATGTCCAGAATCTCTGGGTTGCTTCCTGTCCCAAACCACCACATTCCTTATCAATCCCTTTACTAGAAGATGCACCCTGACAAATTTTCAAGGGGGTGGCACACGGAACCCCCAGGAAGGCAATAATGCAGTTTGTTTAAGGGTAGGGAATTGTGCAACAAATTGGCCAGGGCAGCCTGCCAAGAAGAAGAACCAATACTAAACCAATTCTAAACTGTAGTGAGCCAACTGAAAAGAATACTGAACTAATACTAAACCAATTCTAAACCGTAGTGAGCCAGCTCAAAGGAACACTAAACCAATACTAAACCAAATCTAAACAATACTTACTTGAAAACTACTCAGGCAGGTCCCAGTCTGACCCCCATTTTGTTTTTGGGGGTTCTCGCTATTGACCCCCCCCAATTCGTTTGAGGGGGGGGGCCTTTATTAATCACTCCCCAACATTAATATGGTCAAGTCTTGGTGCCAAAAGCTTCAAGATCCCGCGCAAATTCGGTTCGTCTCGAAATAGGGAACCCCGCGAACTAAGTGGTATCCCTTTGATTTCCATTCAAAACAAGCCCAAAACGGGTACCCGCAAAAAGAGACACACCCAAATTTCTATAAGATGCTGGTCAGGAGCTTTCTCTTAAAACCAAGCCCCAAAAACATGACCCCGTCAAAACCATGACCCCTAGGTAGCCTACCAAAAGGTTTCAAGATCCCGTCCTTGTGCAAAACAGGGGGACGTCCGAAAATTTGGTGGTTCTCCTTCAAAGTTTCCCTTACCAAGGCGAGCAAGAAAAGCTGAGCAAGGACTCCAAATGCTTCCAGTTGCCGCTGTAGCAACCAGGGTTCCCAGGGTTCCCTGCCTTTAGCTCTAACATGGTTTCCCTGGATACGTATTGTAGTGGAACCATTTAGCCGTACAGTTGTACAGTACGCAACTTCAAGGCAAAAACTTGCTCGTAACTGGGGTGCGCTTCAGTCCTTGCCCTTGCGGATGGCGAAAATGCCGGCTGTGGCGTCCGGCAAGGAAGTCACTGAGGGCACTCCCCGGGAATCCCGGGACCGAGGCAGCGACTCAAGCCTCGTCCAAAGATTTGACCCAGGTGCACAGAAGGAACCCCAAAAAGGAGAAGGATACATTTCTACAAATTGAAAAGAACGTCCTTTTTGGAGGAACCTGCTTTTTGGGCACCTGGTTGTTGGGTTCCATGTCAGCTTGCAGGGCAGTATTCACAAACAAATGACTCTTTTGCTCGTGTGTGTGTGTGTGTATTGTGTAAAGGACATGTTTCGCATGTTGCCCTATAGGCTATAGGCTATAGGGGCTCCCCCAAAAGACCACAAAAGAAGACTCCTCACAAATAACAGGATAGTTAACCCTCCTCCAGACTTGTTACTCAGAAGCAGCAAGCAAATTTGCCAAATTGTTTTTCTTCTCAGAAAGAAAGCCTCAGTACCCTCCCCACGACCGGGGTGTTGTTTTTCTTTCCAAAAGCAGACGCTTGCAACCCAACTAATCCAATTCCCACCAAACACCTTATCAGACCCCTTTCACAGAACTTGAAAGGAGCAAGTGCTTCCGCAACGGCTGCCCCAGTTGGAGGGTAAATGTGAGTAAATCTGCCCTACATGAGTGCCTGGGGCCGTGCTCCGCAATTTGGCCTTCTAGTTGCATCTGACCAAAGCAGCATGTTGCCACCTTTTTGAAGGCTCAAGTCACCCTTCTAGCCAAGCCGGTAAGGTCCAGGACACCATGCCACTTGCCAGAAACAAACAATTTGATGCAATATCGTATCCTTAAGGATGGTTTGAGTGTCGAGGTACGTCCAGGTAGAGCCCTGCTCAGTCAGTCTGAATCTCTCCTGTTTGGATTCCTTCGCCTTGTGGGCCGTGAACGAAACACAAGCTTTGACAGGGTGAAACCCCCGCAGGCCATAGTGAAAAACGATTGGCACTCCATTGCTGTTGACTGACGTTCAAGGGAAACCTTGACTGTAGGTAATATTATTTTTTGTATACACCCGGGTGTGTTTTCTTTAGGTGGTTTTCCATGAACACTATAACAATGGGTACGAGCACCTGGTACAGTACCCCCAACAAAAGCACTGATAACTATACACTTAAACATGTATACATTTCCAGGGGTTGATTCCCCATTCTTTTCGATCATCGTTCTTTGCAAACACCTGCCGTTTTCCCTGGGTTTTTTGAGGTTTTCTGGAAAGAAGGATCCCTGGAAAGAATGGGAATAGTATATATCTAATCTTTTGTGGCAAGAACTTCCGCCGCGGGGCGTCTCCACCTCCAGCTTCAAGGCCGCCAGCTGCTGCTGCAGCTCCTCCGCCCGCTGCGCCGCTGTGTCGGAGGCGCCCGACGCCTCCGCCGCCGCGCGAAGCGCGGAGGAGAGCCTCGTCTTGGCCACGGAGACGCCAACGTCCGAGGGCGGGGCACGGGCGTGGCATGAACCGAGGTTGGTGAAACCTGAACTAACCCTAAAACCAACGGTAAAGGGTTAAAAATTAAAACAGCCGTAAAACCAACGATAAAGCAATCAGAATCCAACCCCAAGCCAAACCTTTTACCAACCCCTATCCGAAATTGGTTGAAACAAAGAAACCTGGCTTGAAAAATCCGCTTCCCAGACATTTCGAAACGTAGACTCAAGCACGGTTGAATCCCCGCGGGAAACGCTACATCTTACGTTTAAGCCTACCAGTGGGTAATAAACAAACAAAACCCCCTGTCCGGATGGAACTGTCTCCTTTTGGACTTAAGGGTCT